CGAAGCGCACCTATAGCTGCCCCGCTTTGCCAAAAGAATGCTCGTTTAACCAAGTGGGGAAACCCCCTGATGTGGCACACCCCGGGTTCCCGGAAAACCTCCGAGGAGCTTTCAAAACATTTCGTGACTACTGATTGCTTACTGCAAGCAGAAGCTTTATGTCTAACTTGATGGCAGTATGGCCGACTACGAGGCCGTGGCAGCTCCATGAGGATATGTCTGAAACCTGAGCTGGTGACGGCCGCGACCTTGTCTGCGCCAGCTTTCAGAGAATCCGCGGCCTGGTGAGCCATCCCTTCAGTGTGACTCTTTTGAGTACTCTACAGTGTCTACCTCCCGACTGGGAGGCGTTGGATGGGCCACCTGTAGGCGAATCGAACTGCTGATCTGAGAAAGTTGCAAACGATTGCGGACCTGGTGGCTCTGTTTGTTGAAGTTTATTGACCTTCTTCTAAGTCCTAATTCTGCGCGCTGGGCAGCGGACGTTCTGCTGAGCGGTACCAGCCGCCTGCAGGCGGTTGCTTCTGAATGGGCTTCTGGTACGCTCGTCTGTTTACTTGTTGTTACTCCCTGGCGCTCTCCGCTTCTGGTTGTCACTTTTCTGGCAAAATGTTGCTTCCTCCACCCTCGCGCTCTGTCACCCTCGATGCATTGTTACGCATCTCCTCGAAAAGGTGGGCATAGGTGGCCTCTCCCACTCTCGCTCTGCTTGCCTAATTTCAGAAGCATGCGGCCCCACCCCTTCTCATGAAATTCTGAGGATTCCCATACCCCGCATACGAGTGTACTTTCATTTGAAACCTCAATTGGACAAAACCACAAAACATCGCAACCCGCGCTCTTTCTCCTTCCTTCCTTCCACTCTTTCTCCCTCGCTCTCTCTCCTTCTTTTTTTTCTACGGGGCTTGAGGAACCCAGAGGGCTCTCTCTCTGTCTCTCTCTCTCTCTCTCTCTCTCTCGCTCGCTCGCTCGCTCGCTGCACGCATGGGCCCCTCGAAAGGAAGCATCCCCGAAGGGCGGGCAAGTCCCAAGGTCTGTCAGTGATGTCGCTCGTTCTCTCTGCCTTCCTTCCTTCCAGCGCATGTGATTTGCCCGTTTTCTTTCTTTCTTTCTTTCTTGGGGGCATGAGGGCACGGGGCCCTCGCGCGATGCGCGGCCCCAGCATTGTGGAGCGACTTTCACAGTATGTCGTGTGGACACACGCCTGTTTGTTAAGCCATTATAACCCCTCTAACAATAGAACTCTGGCATGCGACCACGTGAAACTGAGGCTCCAGCTTTTGTGAGATATACCCCTTGACCATCAAGTATCGGTAAAGCTCGCCCTCAACACTTCATTTGCCGTGCCTCTGAGTGGGTTGCTGCCCCCCTACCTGCTCTACACCACCCCCAGACCCTGCCTCACTCCCCACCCCACCTTGCGCGGACCTTCCACTCAACCCTGAATCCTGGGGGCAGCCCCTTACAGAGACACTTCCTTCTGATTGGTTTGCAGCTTTTCGGCTTTCCGTTTCCCCCTATTAGTGGCACCCCCCTAACATGAGAGTCACCCCCCCTATGTGCAGAAGGCCTTGCTGCTCTCGAGCAGTCTCTGTTGGGCGTCCACCCCCCTATCCTATTTCCCCCTAAACCTGCCCTGCCTCACTCCCGAACGAAACCCTAGTTGAATGCACGCACTGCCTCGACCTTCCACGTTCTTCTTCTTCTTCTTCTTCGGGGCTTGACAGGCACGCGAGCACCCTCCGCGCACAAGGGGCGCCCAATCCGTGGTCCAGTCGGTGTGAGACGTTCAAACCCCCCGGGAAGACTGCCAGGTCTCATCCCCATACCTCCCAACACTAATTCGTCTTCCAGGTTCTCTCTCTCTCTCTCGCTCTCTCTATCTCTCTCACCCCTCTCACCGTCTAAACTCCTACTCCTGTGAGGGCGGAGCTTCTGGCTGCACTTGGCGTGAGGGCATTTCGGAAGTCGGTCTGCTGACCCTCGGACCCTGAATACCCTGAACTCCGACTGATCGAGCTCACGGATGCCTGCAAGAGCTTGTCAACCTGGCAGCGGAGCGGGTGTTGCAATTGAGGCTTTGAGGCTTCATCAACAGCTCCGGTCGTCGTGATTGTTAGGGTGAGACAACGATGAAGGCGAGAAGCCTGCTGCTGAAAAGGATCAGGCTGGGTGTTGGCAGGCATCGTTGCCTTAAAATCAGGCAATGACGATGATCGATGTGATGTCAGACTCGTCAGACTCAGCACGGCCACTCTACGATCTACATCAATGCACTACGCCAGGGCAGCTGCTGGCGTCTGGAGGGCCGACGTCACGTCCTGAATGACATGAGTCGAGTCCTCTGCAGTAGCGCTAGAACTCTGAAGCAAGTACAGAGTAGTATCCGGACTGAGCGAGCGACTGCCTTGACCTTGTCCGCCCCGGCTGTCGCAGCATCCGTTGCCTCGCAGAGTTCGGGACCACCTTCTCGTCTTCGTGTCATTTTAGTCTGCAATGTTTTCGCATAGAGGATCCAGAGACTGACGGACCGTTGTGAAAGTAGAACTTCACCGTTCTGAGCAGCGGACGCTTTTCAAAGCATCAGCCGCCGCCTGCAAGCGCACTGCAAAAGCACTGCAGAAGCACTTTGGTTCTGGGTCTCGGAGTGAGCCCTCTCCCTCTCTCAGGTCTCTCTCTCTGTCTCTCACAGCCCGAGAATTGCCTTCTGAAGCTGGTCGACCTGACAGGCTTAAGACTGCAAATCAGCTCTTTTCTTCTGCTTGGTGGCTTGCGGGGGGGGAGCTTCGGAGCTTCGGAGCTTGCATGCGAGCCGGGCGCCTGCTTCCGAGCCTGCTGTTGAAGTCCCGCAGGCGTCAAAGCGAGGGGAGCCGGTGCCTCGGAAGGTGGCGTCAGGTTCACATATGGGTTCACATGGGTTCACGTTTCGCCCTGCGCTTTCATGTCGTTGCACGTTGCATCACAGGCCGCTGCGGTGCTGGCCGCTGGCATCTTGAGCGCCGATGCGACATCCTGAAAAGACGCAACTTCTGACTTCGTTCGATGCAAGGCACGGCGAGCGGCAGGAGGCAATCACCGACCTAAGCCATTGACTGCCACAACCTTGTCTGCCCCGGCTTTTGCAGCATCAGACACCTGAGTTGCGCCAAATATTCTGATCTGTGAGATGATGTGAGATGTGCATGCTGAATGGTTCGGTGGTGTTCACACAGACAAAGAAGTCACTTCTGCACAGTGTGCGCTTGGCAGCGGACGCTTTTGGCAGCAGTAGCCGCCGCATGCACGGCCTGGCGCTGTCGTTTTTTGGTGGTACTCTCGTGGTGCTCTCCCTTCTCGCTCTCCCTCTCCACATGTCTCTCTCATGCGGGGGGATGCTGCCGACACCACTGCGCGTGCTTTCTTGAAAGCATCAATAGATCGGAGAGTGGAAACTCGACTTGAACTCAGACTCATCCTGTCATCTTGAGGCTGCTGGTGAAAATGCCGGAGATGAGATATCATAGTTGGAGCGACTTGAGGCATTCGTAACAACAGGAACTGCAATGCGTTATGCTGAGCTGTGCAAGACCCCGTTTAACCACTTCTGGACTGCGCACTGCTGTGGAGACCTTGTCCGTCTCGGCTTTTGCCTGATCGGAGGCCTCCAGTCAGCGATTCTCTGGCGCGCTCTGGCTACTGTCTAATCCAGTTCGAAGTCCATAGTCGTTTGGATGAGACGTACGCGGTTTTCTGGCCCAGGTCTCTCAAGCTTGGCAGCGGACGCTTTGTGCAGCATCAGACATTGCCTGCAAGCACTGCTTCGCTCTGCCCTCCTGCTCACTCTCCGGTCTCTCTCGCACTCTCTGCCGGCGGAATGATGCAGCCACTACTTGCTGCAGAGTGCCACAGGCAGCAGTGCTCATGCTTGCTAAGGGCGTCAAGGATATCAAAGGCAGGCTGGAGCTTGGAAATTTACGTATGGTAGAATTCGAACTCAGATCGATCCGGCTCGCTGGCGCCTTCATAAGCTTGTCGGCCTGACGTGCAATAGAACATGAGGCTCTCGATGTGATGCGGGGCCTATAATGCTTTGTTGCTGAGCCTGCGCTTTAATTTCCGCCGGCGCTGGCACCGCCGGAACGGCAGGCGTCGCCGGAACGGCAGGCGTCGCCGGAACGGCAGGCGTTGCAGGAACGGCGGGCACTGCCGGAACGGCGGGTGCTGCCGGCACGGCGGGCGCTGCCGGCACGGCGGGCGCCGCCGGAACGGCAGGCACCAGTGCCGCAATTGCCTCAAGACAGGGCTGACATCTTGATGATTGCACAGGGGGCCTCACCGGCCATCACAGAACGCAGACTTAGCCGGCCACTTCTGCAGCCTTGTCCTCCATGGCTTTGCCCACAGCGGCGGCCTTCTCATACTCAGCTCAAGACTCCATCAAGGCTCTTAGTATTTGGCACCCTGGAAACAACCTCCGACAAGATCTACTGACCCAGCTGGCCGGTGAAGTGTGAGATGTGCATGAACTGCGCCACACACCGTAAACGACACCGACCTTGTCCGCTGTGGATTTTGCCTGACCGGAGGCCTGCAGTCAGCTTCTCGGGCATGGTCTGGCTACTGTCCAATCCAGATCCAGTCCACTAGTGTGCCATTACCGTTTGGATGGGGTGTGCGTGGGACGATCGGGTACGGTTTACTGGCCCAAGGCTTCTCCAAGAAAGCCGTCAGCGCTTGGCGGCGGACACTTTGTGCAGCATCAGACATTGCCTGCAAGCACTGCTTCGCTCTGCCCTCCTGCTCACTCTCCGGTCTCTCTCGCACTCTCTGCCGGCGGAATGATGCAGCCACTACTTGCTGCAGAGTGCCACAGGCAGCAGTGCTCATGCTTGCTAAGGGCATCAAGGAAACTTCCTAACCCCAACTCAAACCGATCCGGTTCGCTGGCGCCTTCACAAGCTTCTTGGCCTGACAGCAATAGAACATGAGGCTCTCGACAATTTTTCGGCATTTTGCTGAGCCTGGTCCTGAAGCGCCGGTGCTGGCACCGCCGGCACGCCGGGCGTCGCCGGTGCGGGCGCTAGTGCCGCGAGTGCCTCAGGAACATGAGTCTTCACTGGGTTTAGCTGAGTAAAGATGCATTAAGCCTGTCTAGAGCTGAATTAACACGCAAACCTCCTTTTGGCAGCCCGAGTGGTGCTTGCTTTGCTGGAGAACAGCCGAGAACGAAGCATGCTAAGCCGGCGACTGATGCAGCCTTGTCCACCATGGCTTTATGCGCATCGATGGCCTTCGCATGTGCGCAGTCCCCGCCGCTGGTATAATTGGCCTTCTCACCCTGGAAACAGAGATGTGCATGCTGGAAGGTTCTTTGGTCCTGGTGCCCTCAAAGCCCTCAAAGCACTAACTCTGCGCTATTTGTGTTTGGGCTTTTCGAAGCTATGATCAGGACCAACAGCAGCTGCTAGATCAAAGAGATGGTCGTCAAACGAAACGAAGAGACCGCCAACCGGACTGTGCCAGACGACCTGGTCCGCCGTGCTTTTTGCCTGATCGGAGGCCTCCAGTCAGCTTCTCTGGCAAGTTCTGGTGACTACTGTCCAATCAAGATCCAATCCACTAGTAGCCTAGCGGGTTTGTTATTACCGTTTGGATGATGTGCGTGGGACGTTCAAGTACGGTTGTCTGGCCCAAGGTCTCTCCAAGAAATCAACCCTCTGCGCTGTCAGTGCTTGGCAGCGGACGCTTTTCGCAGCATCAGACATTGCCTGCAAGCACCGCGTTCTCTGCCCTCCTGCTCTCCGTCTATGTCTCTATCGCACTCTCTGCAGGCCGACGGAAGCAGCTGCTATACGCTGCAGAGCCACAAACAGCAGTGCTCATGCTTGCTAATGGCATCGCTGGCTGGAGCGTGGAAGTTTACCTATTGTACAAGTGATCTCAGATCGATCCGGTTCGCTGGCGCCTTCACAAGCTTGTCGGCCTGACATGCCACAGAATCATGAGGCTCTCGATGCGGTGCGGGGCCTATATTGTCTTGTTGCTGGGCCTGCGCTTTAATTTCCGCCGGCGCTGGCACCGCCGGAACGGCAGGCGTCGCCGGAACGGCAGGCGTTGCAGGAACGGCGGGCACTGCTGGAACGGCAGGCGTTGCAGGAACGGCGGGCACTGCTGGAACTGCAGGCACTGCCGGAACGGCGGGTGCTGCCGGCACGGCGGGCGCCGCCGGAACGGCAGGCACCAGTGCCGCAATTGCCTCAAGACAGGGCTGACATCTTGATGATTGCACAGGGCGCCTCACCGGCCAGCACAGAACGCCGACTCAGCCGGGCACTTCAGCAGCCTTGTCCTCCATGGCTTTGCCCACAGCGGCGGCCTTCTCATATTCAGCTCAAGGCGCTTCCTGCGCTAGATATTTTGCACCCTGGATACAACCGGGTTTCTTGTAGGTGTATGGGTAACACAAAGCCCGCTCCCACCCCAAAACCCCCTCGACCCCATGCACCACCACCCCACCACCCGCTTTCCTCTTCATGTTTTCCTTGATTGGGTCCTTTCCAACTACTTCCTCTTCTTGCTGGCGCTATCCTGCATGTACACCGCACCCACTCGTTTGCCTCCATGGTTTCAGGGCTTAAGCTTCAGGCACACTTTCGCCATGTGTATTTGGACTGAAATATGTCTCCCCCCCCCCCCCCCCCCACCCCCTTAGGCGACAGGTGTGCGCATGAACTGCATGTCCTCTCGACAGCAGACGCCTCGCAGCTGTGTAGGCCCCGGCCGAGGCGGGTCGAATAGCGTGAAAAAACTATCAGGACCAACATCTGCAGCAGCTGCTAGATCAAAGAGATCGTCGTCCACGCACCGAAGAGAGACCACAAACCGAAGTGTGCCGGACGACCTGGTCCGCCGCGCTTTTTGCCTGATCGGAGGCCTCCAGTCAGCTTCTTAGGCATGCTCTGGCGACTACGTTCCAATCCAGATCCAATCCACTAGTTTGCTATTACCGTTTGGATGGGGTGTGCGTGGGACGATCAAGTACGGTTTTCTGGCCCAATGGTCTCTCCAAGAAATCACCCCTCTTCGCCGTCAGCGCTTGGCGGCGGACACTTTGTGCAGCATCAGACATTGCCTGCAAGCACTGCTTCGCTCTGCCCTCCTGCTCACTCTCCGGTCTCTCTCGCACTCTCTGCCGGCGGAATGATGCAGCCACTACTTGCTGCAGAGTGCCACAGGCAGCAGTGCTCATGCTTGCTAAGGGCATCAAGGAAACTTCCTAACCCCAACTCAAACCGATCCGGTTCGCTGGCGCCTTCACAAGCTTCTTGGCCTGACAGCAATAGAACATGAGGCTCTCGACAATTTTTCGGCATTTTGCTGAGCCTGGTCCTGAAGCGCCGGTGCTGGCACCGCCGGCACGCCGGGCGTCGCCGGTGCGGGCGCTAGTGCCGCGAGTGCCTCAGGAACATATGAATCTTCGGTTCAAAGCGGTTTCCGAGCCGCTGCGTTTTTGAGGGTTTAGCAATCAGGCCAGAATTGCTAAAACCGCAAAAAACAAGGTTAAAAACTAGGCAACACCCCAAAAACATGAATTGTGCAAAACTCTTGGGAGAACAGGAACAAACAAATCAACACAAAAAAGCCAGAAAACAAATTTCCACCAAACCAAAAAGACCAATACTAAAAAACAGAAGAATCGAAAAAACAAATTTTCGGGACTCTGCGAAAGCTGTGGAAATAAGCTTACGAGTCAAAGTCCGGAAAATGTGTTTTTTGTTTTTGTTTTTTGGCTTTTTTGGTGTTGGTTTTTCTTGGTTTTGGGAATTGGCTTTTTGGTCTGATTTTTTGGTTTCGGTGTCCCAGTTTCCCACGGGTCCTGCAAAATTAGTGTGTTTAGGCTTTGTTGTTTTGTATTGCTTGTGGGTATGGGTGTGTATTTATTAGTTTCTATGAGCCTCGCTTACTAGGATTGGAGTGCGTCGTACTCCACCTGTGCACACCATGGGAAGTTATGCAGCCGACCAGGGAATCCAAGACAGCACTCTCATGTTTGATGAAGCATGCGTGCACGTATCGGCCAAAACTGGGGCCAGACAAGGTGTGAATGCAAGAAGAGCAAGATAATGAAAAGAAACAAAATACCAAGAATTAGATGAAAGAAATGTGGTGCCGTAAGAAAACAGAAAAGACAACTACAAAGTGAATCATTAATTGAATACGAAATTCTTTAATTTACAACTCATTTACAAGAGAAGATAAATAGAATGACCACAAAGTGAAGACAATAATAATATATTGTGAGGAAAGAACAAAATGAACAAAAGCATTTCCTAAAGATATAGCAGCATTACATAAAATAAGTGCATAAGTCAATTCACAAAGCTTCTCCAGGCCACATCCCCAAAGTTCGACAAGAGAATAAATGAAAAGATGTCCAAAACAAGGATACAAATAATAGAGCTTCAGAAACTAGAAAACCCCCAAATAGGAAAATAGATCAGGGGCGTTTACGCAAATATAATAATAAGTTGATTCTGAAGGACTGGTTTTAATAATACCATTCTTGAAGAAATGACACGGCAAAAGACGTGTTTTGTCCCTATAATGTTGTACTTTTCCTCGTTCCTGTCATTCACGGATGTGTGATTGATTGATTCATATCTTCATGTCGTGGGTGAGCTGAATGGACGATGGGGGTCCTAAGGAAGGTCCGCATCCCTGTAATAATATTCAAGGGGCCATAGAATGGTAATATTCGTGCCGCCCCTTCTGTGAACACATGAACGAAACAACCTCATGAATGCACCACGATATAATATTCTTGTACCGCGTGCGTTTCACTCACCCGTAAAACAATGTTACTAACGTGCGCTCTTCATGGACGGACTCTTGGGCAGCTAAGGTTTCCACGGCTGGACAGGTAGTTTAGCACCAACTCCCTCGCCTTGTTTAGCCACAAACGCAAAGAAGGCGCAACAAACCAACAGTTAGGGCGAGCTGTACGTCTTCGTGGACTTGTGCCGCAAGACTCAAGCAAGCAAGCTCAGGGAAAAACCTCGTTTGGGAAAAAAAAACCCTGAGCTCCACCGACCTGCAAACTATACAGACCAGCGAGCCTGTGCGCACACCCCACTGCCAAGAGACAAGCGGAAAACCCAACACACCACACCACACCACACCCAAGCCAAAACCAACCAAGCCATCGCACCTTGAGACCCTTTTAACGCCTGGTCTGGATAACACCAAAAGACCCAAGATGGGAACTCTCTTGACAAGGAACCCACTCTCGGGACACAGTTTTTTTGAACGAGTACCAGACGCGAAACTTTTTGAAGACACAGTCGCCGAAATGCTTCGATCGCGGAAATATCACAACAGTTGGCTTCATGAACATGGCCCTAGTTAGTTAGGCCAATGGCCTGACTTTTCGTCATTGTTAGGCAGAAGCAGCGATGATTCAGCGTGGAAGGTTTGCAAAAGGAACGTCCGCTTCATAGAACCGCGAAAAAATGTAGTTTGGTACTAGTCTCTTAAATATAGCACAAATAGCACGTCTCGGCGTGAGATGTGGGGTTTGAAGGCCTTTAGATTGTTTGTATTTTATGGAGGCCGGAAGCCACTGCAGTAAAACCCAAAAACGCAGCGCCCGAGTTCCCGCCTTGAACCTCGTCTTCACTGGGGTGCTTCCCCGGCTTTGGGCACAGACCCACACAGAAGTAGCTAGGCTATGTTAGGTCATATGAGTCGAATGAGGGATAAACGCCTCACATTTCTTGAGCTGAGTGAAGATGCATTAAGCCTGTCTAGGGCTGAATTACCTTGCAAACTTGCTGTTGGCAGCCCGAGTGGTGCTTGCTGTGCTCGAGAACAGCCGAGAACGAAGCATGCTAAGCCGGCGACTGATGCAGCCTTGTCCACCATGGCTTTATGCGCATCGATTGCCTTCGCATGTGCGCAATCCCCGCCGCTGGTATAGTTGGCCTTCTCACCCTGGAAACAAACTCTGACAAGATCTACGGACCCAGCTGGCCGGTGAAGCGTGAGATGTGCATGCTGGGAAGGTTCTTTGGTCCTGGTGCCCTCAAAGCCCTCAAAGCACTAACTCTGCGCTATTTGTATTTGGGCGCTTTGAAGCTATTATCAGGACCAACAGCAGCTGCTAGATCAAAGAGATGGTCGTCCAACGAACCGAAGAGACCGCCAACCGGAATGTGCCAGACGACCTGGTCCGCCGTGCTTTTTGCCTGATCGGAGGCCTCCAGTCAGCTTCTCTGGCAAGTTCTGGTGACTATACTGTCCAATCCAGATCCAATCCACTAGTAGCCTAGCGGGTTTGTGATTACCGTTTGGATGATGTGCGTGGGACGTTCAAGTACGGTTGTCTGGCCCAAGGTCTCTCCAAGAAATCAACCCTCTGCGCTGTCGGTGCTTGGCAGCGGACGCTTTTCGCAGCATCAGACATTGCCTGCAAGCACCGCGTTCTCTGCCCTCCTGCTCTCCGTCTATGTCTCTGTCACACTCTCTGCAGGCCGACGGATGCAGCCACTACTTGCTGCAGAGCCACAAACAGCAGTGCTCATGCTTGCCAATGGCATCGCAGGCTGGAGCGTGGAAGTTTACCTATTGTACAAGTGATCTCAGATCGATCCGGTTCGCTGGCGCCTTCACAAGCTTGTCGGCCTGACATGCCACAGAATCATGAGGCTCTCGATGCGGTGCGGGGCCTATATTGTCTTGTTGCTGGGCCTGCGCTTTAATTTCCGCCGGCGCCGGCACCGCCGGAATACCGGGCACCGCCGGAACGGCGGGCGCCGCCGGCGTGGCGGGCGTTGCAGGAACGGCGGGCTTTAGTGCCTCAAGAAAGCTTCGGCATGTTCACTACAGGGGTCGTGGGTGGAATGATATCGTAGTGCGCAGACTCACACAGAAGTGGTTGGCAGGTCCGAAGACAGCAGAGAAACTCCCAGCCCCTGCACTTGGAAGCTCAGATGCACTTGCGCAAGGCATGGCCGCGCTAGAATTTGAATGTGGAAGCCAGGCTGGTGGCGAGGTCTCCCAGCCACAAGCCCTAGGCCCCCTAGGCCCTACTACACGTCCCTTGTCATCCTTTACCTTCGCACTTTACCACATGGTCGTGGAAAAGAGCGGCCTTTGCAGCTGCCGAGAACGATGCGTGCTAAGCCGGCGACTGCTGCGGCCTTGTCCACGATGGATTTCCCCGCATCTGCGGCCTTCGCAACTTGTCATTTTTCACTTTGTCACCCTAGAGAGAAACTCCGACAAGATTTGCTGACCTGACCAGGAGCCCGCAATCGCCCGCAATTAAAACAGCTCAGCGCTGCTTGAGCTCAGCAGGGGACGCTTTGCACAGCAGTAGCCGCCGCGTTGGCAGCCTGCCCAGCTTGCTTCTGTTGCCCTCCTGGTACTCTCCCTTCTCGCCACTCTCACTTATGCAGATGTCGGCAGCGGTGCTCATGCTTGCTGGAAGGTATCAGATGGAAGCCCAAAGGTCTTGAACCATTGGCTGGGTAGAGCAACTGCAGGCCGTTGAGACTCAGCCACAAAGCGTGCCAGAATCCCTTTAAAACCGCACCGCGTCAGATTGCTGCGACCTTGTCCGTCTCGGCTTTTGCATGATCAGAGGCCTCCAGGCAGCTTCTCTGGCATGCTTTGGCTGCTGATCCACCCACCTGCCTATAGAAGGCTTGCTATGGTCTTTCGTATCGGATGCGTGTGGGAAGATCAGATAACGTTGTCTTTTGTGGAAGCTGGTTTTGTGGTCCCCAGGGCTCTCCAAGACGTCCTCTCGTGCTTCAGTGTCACTTAGCAGCGGACGCTTTTTGCGGCATCAGACATCGCCTGCCACAGCAATGCTTTGCGGTGCTCTCCAGCTCGCTCTCCTTCTTTCCATGTCTCTCGCACTCTCGGCTTTTGGAAAACGAACTCAGACCGATCCGGTACACTTGCGCCTTCATGAGCTTGTCGGCCTGACAGCTATAGCAGCGAACTGCAGAGCATGAGGCTCGACGTGGCGCCTACTATTGCTGGGCCTGCTCTTTAAGAGCCGCCGGCGCTGGCACTGCCGGAACGGCAGGTGTCGCCGGAACGGCGGGCGTCGCCGGAACGGCGGGCGCCGCCGGAACAGCGGGTGCCGCCGGCATGGCGGGTGCCGCAGGCACAGCTGGAATGGCAGGTGCCGCCGGGATGGCGGATGCTAGTGCCTCAGGAAATCAAAAAAGCGGCGGCATGTTCACCGCTATAGGCTCGTAGGGCTCGTAGGTGGAATGATAGCAGCATCGGCGAGAGTAAGGCTGAGCCGGCGACTGTTGCGGCCTTGTCCATACTGGCTTTCCCCGTGTTGGCAGCCTTGTCGGCTCAAGGCATTTCCCCAAGTACGTAACCCAGATCTTGCACGAACCTCACAAAGACCTAGGGAGAGAACAGGGTGCACAGAGAAGTCTCGCAGTGAATCCCCACCACCTGTCCCTTGTTTCCCGCGCTGCCTGCGCGGCAACCTTCTCAACCTGGCACCATGCAGTCACATGCAAGCACGGATGAATGGCCAGGTGTCTTGAACAAACCACTGCGCCTTTCTCCTGGGGTTCTCAACGCTTTAGCATTGGAAGTTTAATATATCTAGAAATGAGTGAGAATCTCCCAAGACCTCAAGTATGCCACCCATCCTCCGCCATGAGCTTTGGGGCTTCTGCCGCCGTCTTCTGCTGCTCCTCCGGATGCGCAACAGCGCCACTTTTAAGGTTTATCTTCGAATGATGTCAGACCAAGAGTCATTGTTGGTCTCCGCAGGGCTGCTGGCGGCCAGCGAAGTCTCATCCGTAGTTTGGACGCGCAAGAAAGCATACCAGATGGCTGACATTCTTCAGTGCTCTCTTTCTGCACAAACTCGAAAGCTGCATTAACATCATAAACCCACCATGCCAGTATCAACGTATCCCCTTTTAAGGGCCTCCGAACTGGACTCCGACTCGACAGGTGCCAAGCATGTGGCAAGTTCTCCAACCAAAGGTGCGCGCTGCCGAAGCGGTCTCTTCCGGCCCCCCTTCCAATACATCTCGAATCTGGGGCGCCCAGTGAACAGAACGATAACAGAACTGACCCCTGGAGAACTTCATTGACAAAGGATCCTGAAGTTCAGCGTCTCCGTGAGGAAGAGTTTTTACCTAGACCGTAGAGTACATATAATGTGCAGCGTCCTGATAAGCAGCCATCGGGTTGGCAGCTGCTTTCTCGGCCTGGTCTTGCAAGGGAACCCCGATGTAGGTTGAGCTGCTGGGATATCAGGACGTTCGTGACTGATGGCTGTTGCTTATTCATCTTACTAGTTAACAATTAGCGCTGTAGATTACACTGCTTACATCAACCTGCTCTTCCATTCCTGGCATCAGGTCGGTCTTACATGGGGCGCCTGGCAACAGTTCTGTGTGTGCGCTCGTGTACTTGGTGCGCGTGCGCGCGTGTGTGTTGGTGGGCGATGGTGAGTGTGAGTTTGTGAGTGTTTGTTTGTGAGTGAGTGTGAGAGTGTGAGTGTGTGAGTGTGTGTGTGTGTGTGTGCATGTGTGCATGTGTGCATGTGTGCATGTGCGTTGTGACTGTGTTCTTAGCTGGAGGGGGCAAATTCCTCGCATGCGTCATAGGCAAACTTCCTAGGCCGCGAAAGGTCATCCTCGAGGTCCTCGTGACTGCCAGCACGTTTTAAGACAAAGCCCGTTAAGCGATGCTAAAATATGCTAAACAATGGCGCGGGCTTCCGCAGCTGCAGCTCGATCTTTGGTGGCACGCTTGCGAACGCTTATACGAACACGGGATCACTCGAGCCGACGTGACGAAACGCCGCCCTGTGAGACGGCTGAAAAACAACTTGCAAACACAAGACTCGCCATGTCGGGTAAGTTCCTGGACTCCTGGAACGCTGACTCATAAATGAAACGAGAACCCTCTTCTGCGCATTCGGGAAAAGATGTTATATGCATGTTGTTGCAATGCATGTTGTGCTATCTTTTTCGCAAGAACTTGAAGAATTTGCCTCGGGTAAGGGCTTCATCCAAAGCTTCAGTCGGGGATTGGGCAGGAACTCGATGTCTAGAGTTCAGCACTCTGGCTCACAGTGTGCTTCTCCATCTGGGCACAACAGAAACGACGGCAAGGCGCCAAGCAGAGTGGCTAACGCGCCAGGCGCGGATGAAACAATGCCATGAGAAAACGCCCTTGAGATCCATCGACACATGCAAACGGAACCCTTAAACCCCTAGTGGCGGTGCAATGCGGGCGCAGCGGGAGTTTCCAAAATTAGGGCCCCCCCCCCCCCCCCCCGATGTGCTGCAGATTTGCTGGAAGCGCGCTGACCCGCATCAAGTCTTAGAGGGTTCAGGCACCTCCAAGGTCCTGAGGGCACCGCCTTCTTCTGCTGCTTCTCTTTCTCAGCAGCCTTCTTCTTCTGCTGAGCGTCGGCCTGAAGAGTCTCGCTCCCATTGCTATCGCTACGATTTACTCTTGCTGCTGCGGCAAAGCAGAATCTAGGATGGCCCTTAGTAACCCTCTGAAAAGTATTCCTGAACAGATCCCCCAATCATACTAGAAAATAGAAAGTGTCCCAAGGGCCTACCGAAGAATACTTCGATCTAAACTTATCAGCGGATTTCCCCAAAATCATCCCTTCTCTCGCAGCCATTGGCTTGTTCAAGGCGCCTTCTTCGCAGCCTCCGTGGCTTTCTTCTTCTCCTGCTCCAACTTCTGCCTCTCTTTGTCCTGACGAAAAGAGATGATGGGGGGGAGAGGTGTGCATGGGGAGATGAGATCCGCGCCTGCTTGAACTTGCTGAAGCCCTCCAAGTCCACGGAGTCCTTGGTGCCGGACCAGTAGAGGTTCTTGTGGACGTAGAGGTAGCCCACCGAGGGATCTTCCGAGCACTTCTTCAGGGATTGCCCTGCGTCGACCTTCTGCATGCCCGGGACCTCCATGACGGTCTTGTGGGTGATGACATGGCCCCCAATCACCAAGCCGGGCTTCTTGACGAAGAGGTCCTTAATCTGGCCCTCGTTGATCTTGTTCATGGCCGCGTAGCAATCGGCCGTGGGGCCCTGGCCGATCCAGTGAAGCGAGCCCAGGTTTCCCTGAAGGATCTGCAAGACTAACCCGTAAGTCGCCACCATCCCCTTCGTCATGCCCACCACGTCTTCCTTGCACACGCTCGACGGCACACAATTCGCGGCGAAGTCATGCTCGGCATGCTCCGAGTTCTTGAAGATGTAGTAATAGTTGCAGTCTGCGTTGCCCATTGCCTTCATGCTTTCCGGGTTCACATGACCTGTGGCAGTTAGCATCTGTCCGAAGAACCTATATGTCAGCGAAGAGAGAGAGAGAGAGAGAGAGAGAGAGAGAGCGAGAGACAGAGAAAAAGAGAGGAAGAGGCAAAGGTTCGTGCACAACTATATGTCAGCGAAGAGAGAGTGCGAGAGAGAGAGAGAGAGGGAGAGGCAAAGGTTCGTGCACAAACTTCGGCCAGCAGACTACAGGACGTTTGGTTGGAAATGGTCTTCGCCACATCCGCCGTAGTTCCGTAGTTCAAGTTCGAGTTGATGGACTGGGCGACTTGAAGCGCTTGGCCTGCACCGAGACTGGGAGTGCGCTTGAGGAGACTGAGTCGGATGTTTGTCCCCCTTTCTACCACCAAATGTCATCGAAACCTCCCTGAAAGACGAAGCCCCCAAAAAGTCACCCCCTAGACCCTGATCCCGAAGCCTTGGAAAACCCCCAAGTACTCTAAGCAGAGCACGGCAAAGCTCGCATCGGGTGCTTCTTTTTTCTCTAAAGTTTAAAGGCCTTTTTGGGCAGGTTGCAGGGCTTCGGGTTTCAGAACTTGCTGGCAGAAAAAGAAAAGGGCGACGGGAGTCCCGGGAGTGGGCGGAGAGACTCGCCGCAAGACCCCTAAAACGACTCAATAAACTCCCACAAGCCCCAAACCGCTTGTGAACGGTATCCTTCCCCATTCTGAGCGCCAATCACATGGCTCGGCTGCCTTTCGCTTCACCACAGCAGGAGCCCAGCAGATCAAGGTCTCCGTAGTTGGGCGCCGTTTCCCTGAGCCAAAGGATGCTGAAGGCTTAAAGAAGTTGAGGGCTTCAAACAGTTGAGAGGGTGGTGAAGGGTGGTGGGCTGCACACTGAAGATCTGACTTTGCAACTTTGCTTCTCTAGAGTCTTAAGCAAGCTTTAGACATCGATGCCATCAAAGACTTCCATGCCCAGGCTCTGAAGCTTCTCAGCATAGAAGCCGGCAGATGCGGCGGTGTCCAGCAGATCCTCTCAGATGAGGACTCAGGGGCTTTACATGGGCTTAGGAGGTGTACCCCCGCGTTCTCTTGCACGCCTGCGCACAGATCAAACTCACGCGTGTCGAAGTGTCTGAAAAACATTGAAAACACTTGGTCGCACATTATGTCGCCCATGGTCGTGTCCTGTCCGGGGACTACGACGGCCACTCTCGGCGAGGCAGAGACAGCCGTCAGCAAAGTCACGCACACTCCAAAAGAAGTCTTCATGGCCCCCCTTGCTCTTCCCAATTTTCCAGGTGCAGAGCCAGAGAGGCTGCGAGACCCACCATGAGCAGACGAAGTTGAAAACTTGAAGCGGCAGAAGCATCACTACGTACTTGTGGCCTTACGTGGCATCATGCCGTGGCATGCCGTGGCTCATGAGCCATATACTTTTGGAGCTGCTCGGATTCGGGACACGGGTAAAAGCCCTCACAAATGATAAACTTAAGGGAGCAGGATGACACTCCACAGTCAATAGTCATCAGGATGAGGCAGAACATACTTTGCGGTGTATCTGTGCCCAAGCACTGATATGCACAAACAGAAGATAACAGAAGATAACAGAAGATAACAAAAGGTTCGACTTTCGAGCAGTTTTGTTTCACATCATGTCACAGATGCCATGCAGATCTTGCGCGGCGCTCTCAGAGCGCTGCCTCGCCTAGCTTCCCCGGGCCCCCGGACGTTCTCATCAGTTGCTGTACCCTACGATTCGCGATGTTGTGCTTACATGGCTTCATCGGTTGCAGATGAACGCTTTGGCAGTACTGGTAGCTCTAAGTAGCCAATCTTCATCATCTGTCAAGTCCCCGTCCATTGGGCTGAAGATCTTCAGACCGCGTGCGGCGCTCTAGGGCAGCTGCATCCCACCTTGCGCGGCTGTATGCGCGAGGCGAGAACACTTGCCCACATAAATGTAGGACTTTGGGCTATAAGATATGTCATAAACGTGGGCCCATGTGGGCCCACGACTTTTCGTGCTCCACAAGCTGTTGCACTGCCGTGTTGGTTGCGCAACAACCCTTCAGAAGCATTATGTCCGATTGAAATCCCTATACAATGCCGCATTTTCCTGCTGTCGTTCTGGACAGCTGTGTTTCGTTGCAGCTGTTCAAGACAATCACTGTAGACGGCAAGCTCGCCCTGCGAGCTCATACTTTGAATTCCGCATCGACCCGACAAATGTAGGGGCAGCACTCGTCACAAACGAAAACAACAAGTAATTAGGAATGACTGATAGTCATTATGGATCGCTGGGGTGCATGTCAAGCGGCCTACTATTGAAACAGGCTTGGCAGGCAGGTTCAGTTGTTGCACCTGGACTGCCCAGCTTCGCAAAATTTAGGCGACCGCGCTGAAGGAACCTCCTTAAACAACACTTCGTAGAGTCTTGCTACACTATAGCCAACTGCTTGCGGCATGCATCGAGGTTCTTCCCTTGCCTGGCCATTCAAAACAAATCTGCACCGGGGAATCTCTGCCCAAAACTCCACGACCTTTCCATGCTGACAGTTGTGCAGCTGCAAATTTGACTGGCCTTTTGACATCTACTAGCGCTGCTATTCGCTACTAAAGTTGCAAGCCTTTTTGTGGGATGCTTCTGAACTTCTGACCCTTCCTGCAACACAAAATCGCAGTGTCATTTTCTTATAGAGTCTTGTGAGGAGATCACACAAGGCGCAGGCAATCGCTTAACTCCCAGACACCTTCTCCATGATCCGTATACTCATGAGGGCCCATTAGGCTTCTTCGCAACTATGCACCTTCAAGATCAATTGCGCCATCACCGCTGACGAAGCGAACCTCACACCCTCGTGCTAGATTGTTGGTGAATTAGGTCTTAAGTGTCTTAAGCCCAAGAGGTCTCGAGAGTGCTTTGTCAAATTGCAGGCACAACGGCAGCGCAGCAGCAAGGGTCAATGGCGCCAAGGTGCCGAACACCAGGGACTGTTACCCCGCTGCTCTTTATTCCAGCTTCATTCCAGCTCAGCTTCAGTGTCCTGAGGCTTCTTCCATTGGATCATCGTGCGTGCCAAAAGCACCGACGACATCGCCTGTGCAAGCGCTCAGCCGGTCACGCGACATGAAACGCTTTCTTCTAGCCTGTGGTGTGACATGACACACCATGTGACACACAGTGGGAAGAGTTTAAGAGCTTGACCCCACCCGCGACGGGCCTCGGGAGCACGTAGTCGGCCAATGATCTCCCCGTCAAGAGGGTCCTTTTACAGATTCTCCCGCAAGGGTGCTTCAACTTACGTAGGATTTCAGAGAGGATTGCCCGAACGGCTGCAACATGCGCCAGGCCGTCACTGTGCGTTCAATTTTTTGGTGAGTATTCCTGGCCCTCCAGCCAGGAATGTGTTTTCCAAATCAGCAAAGTGTTCAGGCCAACACTCACGGGAAGCTCTAGTTCACCGCCTGTCCTTTCTGCGGCATCGCCAGGAAGTGCACCCAAGTGTTGCAAGAGCAACCAGGAGCGTGATCCTCAGGGATTGAAGGAGTTTTGAGTGACACCTGGAAAGTCCGAAAACAAAAAGCCAGTCCTGGAGCCCGTGCCAATCCACGTAGAGATCCCCTGAAGTTCCTGAGGAAGAGCCCAATGTGGATGGACGAGGGTGCACCAGGTCTTTAGTGAATGGGGGGTGCTGAGGAGAAGTCGCTGCTGCAATTGAGGAGTGTCTAGGCAGAAGCTTTGCTGCACTGGCATGTCTTGCTCGAAGAGTGAGTGTGTGTGTGTGTGTGTGTGTGTCTGTGTGTGTGTGTGTGTGTGTCTGTGTGTGTGTGTGTGTCTGTGTGTCTGTGTGTCTGTGTGTCTGTGTGTGTGTGTGTGTGTGTCTGTGTGTGTGTGTGTGTGTCTGTGTCTGTGTCTGTGTCTGTGTCTGTGTCTGTGTCTGTGTCTGTGTCTGTGTCTGTGTCTGTGTCTGTGTCTGTGTCTGTGTCTGTGTCTCTGTGTGTCTGCGTGTCTGTGTGTCTGTGTGTCTCTGTGTGTGTGTGTGTGTGTGTGTGTGTGTGTCTGTGTGTGTTGTGTGTGTGTGTGTTGTGTTATGTGGCCTGTATCGACTGCGGATCCGGCACAGGCCAACATGAATGACTAGTAGGCCGCACGTGGCGAAAGATTGCCAAGGATTGCTTGCTGGTGAGGACTGGTCAGTCTTAGTAGCCAACAGCAGGTTTCCAGGCTTCGCCGTATTGTAAAGAAACGTGACGTGAAGACTCGAAAGAAGTTAAGGGCTTGCCACAAGTCCTTTGAGCCAAGCAGCATCAGCGGCCGCCTGAACTCCTCCGTAGCCACGAGCCCGCAGGAGCCGAGAAGGCAAAGCCGGGGGCCAATTCGCAAAGACCTCCAAAAAGAATCCAGAGGCTCACTCAGGCTCTTGCGCTCTCTCTCGCTCATTCAAGTGAGCCCTCCCTGTACGACCTTCCTGAAACGCTTGGAAACCTCCCCCCCCCCCCCCTTCCCCAACCCCCCCCCCCTACCCAGCGCCCCTCAAGACCTATGGCCCCGAGTAGCTGCTAAATGAAGAGCTCTCTCAAATTGAGGCTTTACTCTCTGAAAGTTATGCGGGACGGCCTGCAGTTCCCGGAGACTGCAGCCACGGGGGCTCTTGCATTCGACCCGTACATATCGAGCGACGGTGGCTGCGGGAAAATTGCAGCGCTCAACGTCTGGCGAGATGTCCGCGATAACCAGCATCCAGACTACTCCATCTGGGCTGATCCCCAGGCTGTACTTGCTGGGCCTACTGGGCTTGCTTCCCCAAGAGACCAGGACATAGCTGAGCTCGTGGCGCAGAAGGAGATCTACCTGGATCCACTGGTTGTCCAAAGGCAAGGAGGCCCACTGCGTGGTGCTGAGTCCATCCACAGCCTTCGTGGAGTCCTCTTTGGAGACTTCAGAAGAAGCTATGGTCGGCTTCCCCTTGGCAAGATTTTCAGTCTCTCGAGTCTCTCGAATCTCTGTGAGGACCCGAGCTGCAGCTGCTGTAGCTTCAAAGACGCTAAGCTCTCGGATGCTGCATCTGGAAGTCGCAGAAACGAGGCAAAGGACACGAACCCACTGCGCGGAGGTGCTGGGTGGCATCATGGTTCGCACTCTTGCGCCTTGCCACCCGTGTCCGTCGCCACGGTAAGCCAATCCAAGCCAGTGAAGCTGGTCTGCAGGGCGTACTGCTCCGCGTACTCCTCCCCCCAAAGCACCTCAACCTCCTCGACAACGTGGGGCCCAAGCAGATCAACCCAGGCCCAGGGTTCGGCCTCAACATCGGAAAGCCACTGGCTCTCTTCGATACCATCAACCATGTGAGAAACATGCTCGAAGCCGGATTGCGAAGAGCCCAGGACTGGATGCCAAAGGGCAAGGTTCGCACGTGGCACGTGAGGTACGTGAGGCACGTGACCATGGACGCCAAGTTCCATTATGGCGCAGGCCTCTTGGCACATCACTCGCACCCACTGCGCTGGAACGGGCGGATTGAACTCAGTGATGGTCTGATCGGATGGTGAAAGTGGCGAAAGGTTTGCAACGTCCGTCCAATCTATGGCATTGAAACTGGTTTGAAGCATCGCCTCGGATGCTTCACCCCAAGTGATGGAGACGACGCGCACGTCATGGTGCCCAAGCAGATCAACCCACAGCCACTGCGAGCTCAAGGGGGAAGAGGCCCACTGCGATGCACCATCACCATCTACAGCCTTAGCTGCATATTCTGTGGCCGACCGGAAGGAAGACGCCAAGACAGGCTTGTACAGCGCGAGGTTGGGTCCATCCAAGGCTGGCCGCAAGGATGTCGTCTCGGTGTCCTGGCATACTATATATTATATATACATCTGATTGCCAGGGCAAGATGCTTGAGTGTGCCAAGCCACGAGCATGTGAAATGCTAGCCTCTCGCGGGGTTGTCGAGGAGCTGGCGCTAGACTCCGTTGAAGACATGGCCTGCAGGTGCGCGGGTATATAACTCTCCGATAAACGCAACGTTACGCAAAGATGATTTCAAAAGCATGCCCTGTGGGCTTAGAGCCAAAATGTGCAGGACCAATTCCAGGATCAGCTGCGTTTCTCCAAGCATGATACCTGCGGACCTCTTGTGTTCTCTCTTGCCTCGTGCGCGCGCTACAAGCGGCGACGCTTGCACACACGCAACTTCAGCTTGGAACCAGAATGATCTCTTTGGGGCAATGCAAATTGGCAAGACTGACCACCACAACACCCTGTGCTACCGCTCCTGCGATGACGTCAGCGTTGAAGAGCCTGCAATGGAGCTGCTTGTCCGTAAAGGCGTCCATGTTCCCGTCACAGTGGCGGTGGTCTGAAGTGATCATACCACTACGATCCGCTGCACAAGCAGTCTTGCTGGAGTCGTGCTTGTGTTGGTTGGGCTTAATGATATGGCACAAAGTTCATGTCAGAGATGGGGAGTTGCACTGGCGCATGCCCTCAGCCAGGCTGTACAGTTCGCGACTGAAGACCCTTCGCAACGCATGCCCCACATCACCATCACAGTAGTGACGTAACTAGGGGCACCGGGTCCTGTGAGGATGTGAGCGTCGAAGAGCCGGTGTAGGAGCTGCCTGTGCTTGAAGAAGTCCACGTGCCCGTCACAGTATCAGTGGTCTACAGGGACCAAGCGAGAATACACAGCAACAGGAAAGTTCGCCTCGGCTTCCTGCCGAAAAGCGTTTGGAACAAGCAGACGTGGGATCCGGTCTCCTTCCCCCCAGCCCAACCCTTCCCTCCGTGCCAAATTTTTGTGCCCGCCCTGTGGTGGGACCCCTCCTGGGACAGCCCCCCTCGGAACCCCCGGACCTTCCTGGGACGCTTCTAGGAATGCTGGGACCTTTTCTGGGACCCCCTCCCCTTTTTTGAGGCCTTTCCCAGAAACAGTCTTTCCTCCTTTCCTGTCCGTGGGCCGGCCCGGCTGCCGAGGCGGCACGCTCAAGCGTTTGCAATTGCACAAGGCCTCATCCCCTTTACAGTAGAGGATTTCAAGGTGCTTGCAACATCAGTTAGTTGTATCTACAGGCAGGTCCGCAGATGCTAGGCTTTCTTAAAGATACTTCTGAATGCGAGTCCCCACAAGGGTGCTGCTTTTGAAGCACAATCCCTAGGCAGCTACGTGTACAGCATTTGCACTTTACCCGCAGCAGCATCTAACGGGAATTCTGATTCTGATCAGGATGCCTAACTCTAACCCCTGACGCAAAACATAAGTGAGCAAGGTATGGAACAAAGAACTTCGGAATTAAAGAAAGATGCGTGGACGCTGGCGAACCTAATAAAAATCAACCCCTTGCTCTCCCCCATGCACAGCCGCTGCCCCGACGTACATGTTAACCGGTACGTGCGAGAAAAACAGTTACAGCTTTAAAAGATCTTTGAGCCTGTATGTCTGGCACTGTCCAGTGTGTACCTTCAGCTGGGTTGTACAAGCTCGGAACTGAAATACGCCCTCGATACATAATAGTGCTCAGACAAAACCAAACCGACACATATGGTGTGGCATCGCGTCCTGCGACGACGTCAGAGTTGAAGAGCCTGTGCTGGAGCTGCTTGTGCGTGAAAAAGTCCATGTGCCCGTCACAGTGGCGGTGGTCTGCAGGGAACAAAGCACTTAAAACCACGGCCGCTTGCTCGGATTTGCGTTGGCAATGCATATAGATACTTGTTCCATGTACTTTACAACTTCACAACACAATCGCGACTGTCTCTGGCACTGCGTGCGTCCTGTGACGATGTCAGCGTTGAAGAGCCCGTGCTAGAGCTGCTTGCGCGTGAAGAAGTCCATGTGCCCGTCACCGTGGCGGTGGTCTGCAGGGACCGGAACACATAAAACCGGCGTTTCGAATGTACATTTTGCACTGTCATGTCCATTCAGCCACATTGTGCAAGCTCGCACTAGCATATTTGGCAAATTTTGGCAATACATGAGCGTTGTTCCAAGCTTCTTTGTCCCGAAGTTGACCCTCTTTATGAACAAACACTTTCACGGTATATGTGCACCCATCACAGTGCATGTTTCCGATATCTATCTACTTAAGTCCCTATAGGCATACAACTCCTGAGAAATTCGCTTACCCATCGCGAATCTTTCGAAAGAAGACACAGCATCCTATTCTGGCGGTCCATTCATCATCAGTTCCGACAAGAAGCTTCCGGCCAACGTTCACATACAACCGGTTCACAAGACCATCGCGACTGTCTCTGGCACTGCGTCCTGCGACGATGTCAGCGTTGAAGAGCCTGTGCTGGAGCTGCTTGTGCGTGAAGAAGTCCATGTGCCCGTCGCAGTGGCGGTGGTCTGCAAGGAACAAAGCACTTGACACCACGGCCGCTTGCTCGGATCTGTGTTGGCAATGCATATAGAAACTTGTTCAATGTACGTTACAACTTTACATCACAATCGCGACTGTCTCTGGCATTGCGTCCTGTGACGATGTCAGCGTTGATGAGCCTGTGCTGGAGCTGCTTGTACGTGAAGAAGTCCATGTTCCAGTCACGGTGGCGGTGGTCTGCAGGGAACAAAGCACTTAAAACCACGGCCGCATGCTCGGATTTGCGTTGGCAATGCGTATAGAAACTTGTTCAATGTACGTTACAACTTTACATCACAATCGCGACTGTCTCTGGCATTGCGTCCTGTGACGATGTCAGCGTTGATGAGCCTGTGCTGGAGCTGCTTGTACGTGAAGAAGTCCATGTTCCAGTCACGGTGGCGGTGGTCTGCAGGGAACAAAGCACTTAAAACCACGGCCGCATGCTCGGATTTGCGTTGGCAATGCGTATAGAAACTTGTTCAATGTACGTTACAACTTTACATCACAATCGCGACTGTCTCTGGCATTGCGTCCTGTGACGATGTCAGCGTTGATGAGCCTGTGCTGGAGCTGCTTGTACGTGAAGAAGTCCATGTTCCAGTCACGGTGGCGGTGGTCTGCAGGGAACAAAGCACTTAAAACCACGGCCGCATGCTCGGATTTGCGTTGGCAATGCGTATAGAAACTTGTTCAATGTACGTTACAACTTTACATCACAATCGCGACTGTCTCTGGCATTGCGTCCTGTGACGATGTCAGCGTTGATGAGCCTGTGCTGGAGCTGCTTGTACGTGAAGAAGTCCATGTTCCAGTCACGGTGGCGGTGGTCTGCAGGGAACAAAGCACTCAAAACCACGGCCGCTTGCTCGGATTTGCAATGGCAATGCGTACAGAAACTCGTTCACGGCACGTTACAACTTTACTAAGTTCCATCGCAATCGTGACTGTCTCTGGCACTGCGTCCTGCGACGATGTCAGCGTTGAAGAGCCTGTGCTGGAGCTGCTTGTGCGTGAAGAAGTCCATGTACCCGTCACAGTGGCGGTGGTCTGCAGGGAACACAGCACTCAAAACCACGCCGCTTGCTCGGATCTGTGTTGGCAATGCATATAGAAACTTGTTCAATGCACGTTACAACTTTACATCACAATCGCGACTGTCTCTGGCACTGCGTCCTGTGACGACGTCAGCGTTGAAGAGCCTGTGCTGGAGCTGCTTGTGCGTGAAGAAGTCCATGTGCCCGTCACAGTGGCGGTGGTCTGCGAGAAAGAAGCACTTAAACCCACGGCCGCTTGCTCGGATTTGCGTTGGCAATGCATATAGAAACTTGTTCAATGCACGTTACAACTTTACATCACAATCGCGACTGTCTCTGGCACTGCGTCCTGTGACGATGTCAGCGTTGATGAGCCTGTGCTGGAGCTGCTTGTACGTGAAGAAGTCCATGTTCCCGTCACGGTGGCGGTGGTCTGCAGGGAACAAAGCACTCAAAACCACAGCCGCTTGCTCGGATTTGCAATGGCAATGCATACAGAAACTCGTTCACTGCACGTTACAACTTTACTAAGTTCCATCAGAATCGCGACTGTCTCTGGCACTGCGTCCTGTGACGACGTCAGCGTTGAAGAGCCTGTGTTGGAGCTGCTTGTGCGTGAAGAAGTCCACGTGCCCGTCACAGTGGCGGTGGTCTGCAGGGAACAAAGCACTTAAAACCACGGCCGCTTGCTCGGATTTGCGTTGGCAATGCATATAGAAACTTGTTCAATGTACGTTACAACTTTACATCACAATCGCGACTGTCTCTGGCACTGCGTCCTGTGACGACGTCAGCGTTGAAGAGCCTGTGCTGGAGCTGCTTGTGCGTGAAGAAGTCCATGTTCCCGTCACGGTGGCGGTGGTCTGCAGGGAACAAAGCACTCAAAACCACAGCCGCTTGCTCGGATTTGCAATGGCAATGCATACAGAAACTCGTTCACTGCACGTTACAACTGTACTAAGTTCCATCACAATCGCGACTGTCTCTGGCACTGCGTCCTGTGACGACGTCAGCGTTGAAGAGCCTGTGTTGGAGCTGCTTGTACGTGAAGAAGTCCATGTTCCCGTCACGGTGGCGGTGGTCTGCAGTGAACAATCGCACTTCCAATTATGGCCTGTTAGCATGCTCAGGAAGGGGAGGCCAATGCCAACTTCGAGGGCGGCAGCACAACCCAAATCGATTAAATGACAAACAAGCATGCACCAAAAGCACGGCCTCTTGCGTGAACGGGCAGGACTTCAGGTGCTACTTTAGGCCACTGAGTACCGTCAGCTGCATTGCACAGACTTCGTTACTCCATCCCAACACTAAGTGGCACTGCGTCCTGTGAAAACTCCAACGTGGAAGAGCCAGTACTGGAGCTCCTCGTGCTCCAAGTCAACGTACTCGTCACGGTCGTAGTGGTGGTTGTCTGCGTTGCCATTAAGAAACACTCTTCGCAGGACTTGCTGTGGTTGTTGGTGGGCAGACACGGCTGAAGAGGGGTCAAATTATGGCCGCCAGAGGAGCCATTTGTGGAAGCCCCTGCTCCCCCAGGAATTTTCCGAAGAGAATCCTCTTTTGAATTTGCTAAGATCTCGGAGACTTGGGGACCTGAAAACTGAATTGCCTCTCAAAGGTTCTGGGGCCTGGAGCCTTCGGCAAATTTGATCAGCTGAGCTTCCTTGCTGATGGCTACCCTCGTCTCGTCTTTCGCTTCCCTTGCCCAAGCTGGCCAGTGGAAGAACCCGCCTTGAATCAAACAACGTTGGGTGTGCCTGAAGCTCAAGTTTCAAACTTCCACAGGGAACCTTCACGGGCACAGGTGAGCACCGTCGCAACTGACAGTTTCGTGAGAAAACGTGACCTGCAGGAACAAAATGTGTCCGGGCCGGCAGGTTGTCAGCTTCGCATCCATTTTGTTGGAAACATATATATATATATGTATGTGTATATATATACATATATTGTGTCTGGGTTTTTATCTGTATATACATGTGCAATTATCCGCCGACCCCAGCAACAGCGGGGCGGCGTCAGTGAAGACCCTCCCTGCCCTCACCGCAACCTCTTCCCCCTTCCCCTTCCCAACCATTCCACTCCACCTCTCCACTTGGCCTTGCCTTCCGCCCCTAACCTCCCACCACCAACCCCTTCCCCTGCCCCCCCTCCCACTACCCTTCCCCTTCCCAACCATTCCACTCCATCCTCCTCCCCGACCCCCCCCCGCTCCCCACCACCCTTCCCCTTCCCAACCATTCCACTCCACCCCCATCCCGCTCCCCTGCTCCCGCCCCCGGACCGCTCCCCTTCCCCATCTCTGTCCCTCCTCTCACCGCTTTCACCCCACTTGCCACCCGCTCGGCACTCCGCCCTCCCCTACCCCACGCCCCCCCCCCCACCCCATGCAGGCCTACCCTCTCCCGACTACTCCGCCCCTCACCGATCTCTGCTGTTTCAGGGCCAATCCACCCTGACCGCTCCCCCCACTCCAGCCCGCCTAACTCCCCAATCCCCCCCCCCCCCCCCCCCCCCCCCCCCCCCCCCCCCCCCCCCCCCCCCCCCCCCCCCCCCCCCCCCCCCCCCGGCCCTATGCCCAGTGGCTCCACCTGGTTTTACGGGCCTCTGGTTTCACCGCTCGGCACTCCGCCCTCCCCTACCCCCACGCCCCCCCCCACCCCCACCCCCTTCCCCATGCAGGCCTGCCCTCTCCCGACCACTCCGCCCCTCACCGATCTCTGCTGTTTTCAGGCCAATACACCCACCCTGACCCCCCCACTCCAGCCCTGCCTTCCATCCCCCAACTCTCTCCCCCCCCCCCCAAACCCACCCCCCCAACCCCCCCCCCCGGCCCTGCCCAGTACCGCCACCTGGTTTTACAGGCCTCTGACACATCGCCCCCTCACTTCCCTCACCATCACCGTCCCCCCAAACCCTTTCCCTAACCAGCCAATGGGTCCATGCCCTTGATGGTCCCCTGATTCTGTGGCTCATGGCCCCACAGTGGTTTTACGGGCCTCTGGCCCTTTGCCTCTCTAGACTCGATCAGATGACTGAGTTTAAAGGGCTCCAGTGCATGCCCGCCCCCTCCGCCCGCTCTGCACTCCCTCACCCCCACCCCCCCCCCCTTCCCCACACAGGCCTACCCTCTCCCGACTACTCCGCCCCTCACCGATCTCTGCTGTTTCAGGGCCTTTACCCTTCCCAACCACCGCTCTCTGTCCCCCCTCACCCCACTTGCCACGTGCTCGGCACTCCGCTTTCCCCTACCCCCACGCCCCCCCCTGGCCAATGGCTCCATGCCCTTGATGGTCCTGTGGCCCTGTGCCTGCTGGCTCATGGCCCCACAGTTTTACGGAGGCCCTTTGCTCGATCAGATGACTGACTTTAAATGGCTCCAGTGCATGCCCGCCCCCTCCGCCCGCTCCGCCCGCTCCGCCCGCTCCGCGCTTCGCTTGCTCCCCCCCCCCCCCCCCCCCCCCCCCCCCCCCCCCCCCCCCCCCCACCCCACACCCCCCCCCACCCCCCACCCTTCCCCACTCCACCCCCACTGTCGCAAGCACCCCACTATGCCACCCGCTCTGCACTCCGCCCTCCCCCCCCCCCCCCCCCCCCACCCCCTTCCCCATGCAGGCCTACCCTCTCCCGACTCTCCGCCCCTCACCGATCTCCGCTGCTGCCTTCCACAATCCCCCCACACCCACCCCACCCCCCCAACCCCCCCCGCCCCGCCCCGCCTGGTTTTCCTCTGGCAGAGCTTTACCCTTCCCAACCATTCCACTCCATCCCTCTTGCTCCCGTCCCCATCTCTGTCACCCTCTCACGCTTTCACCCCACTTGCCAACCCCCCCCCCCCCACCCCCTTCCCCATGCAGGCCTACCCTCTCCCGACGACTCCGCCCCTCACCGATCTCTGCTGTTTCAGGGCCAATCCACACCCGCCCTGCCTTCCATCCCCCTCCCCATCCCCCCCCCACCCACCCCACCCCTACCCCTTCCCCATCCCTGCCCCCCCTCTCACCGTACTCTAATCCACCCACCACCAACCCCTTCCCCAGCCATGCCACCCGCTCAGCCCCCCCCGCCCTCCCATGCTCCCACCCCTTCCCCATGCCCCCAATGGCTCCATGGCCTTGACGGTCCCCTGGCCCTATGCCTACTGGCTCATGGCCACGGGCCTCTGGCCCTCGGCCTCTAGACTCGATCAGATGACTGACTCTAAAGGGCTCCAGCGCATGCCCGCCCGCTCCGCTTGCTCCGCTCTTCCCCCCCACCCCCCCCCCCCCCCCCCCTAGGTTTTTTTTCGGCGACGATGCGGATGGCGGGTTGGGTTGAGGGTTTGGAGCTTGGGCGTTTGCCTCCCAGGGGTCGGCGGCACTGGCGGTAGCCATTAAATCGGGCAGCGCGAGGTCCCCAAAGGACCGAGCAAATGCGGACCTTTTAGCCCGGGTCGTCCCGGGAATAGCCTTGCTGGCCTCTGGCCTTCTGCGAAGCAGAATTAGGCCGGACGCCAGTGCCGCCGACCCCCGCGTGCCGCCGGTGAACGGTTTTTTTTCGTGGTTTTTTGCGTCGCCACGGAGGCCCCCAGAGGGCGCGCATCATGAGCATCAGCGGGTCCAGCCCGGGACCCCCAGGCGCGCATCAGGAGCATCAGCGGCTCACGGGGCGGGACCCCGGGGGCGCATCAGGAGCATGATGCCCCCAAAGGGCGGGCATAAGCGACGTGTCTAAGCCCGGGGCTAGGAAAAAGGGAGTTTAGGGGCCTTATAAAGTGCTTAGAAACGTTAAGGGAGTCTAGGAGCCTCAAACGCTTAGAGATTTGAAGGGAGTTTAGGGGCCTGAAAATGCTTAGAAACTTAGCGCTTAGAGATTTTAAGGGAGTTTAGGGGCCTCAACATGCTTAGAAACTGCTCGCCCCGGGCTTCTGCGTGCGCTGCCCGCCCATGGGCGCAGCCCCTTAAAATATTTATGCAGACATAATATGACATGCATACAAGCTTGTGGCAAAGGCGTACGCATTATTTAGCCACGGGCATGAATGACTGGGCGCATCCAACAGTAAAGTCTCTGGAATTTCTGGGTACGTGACATGCAACATCTACAAAGGCTCTGAGTGCTGATAGAAGTGATGGTAGTTGCCCAAAGTTGCTTCAGGTTCTGACAGGGCGTGTGGCTTCAGCAACACCCAATGACACCGAGGCTGCTTCGCACCCTGCCTCCAGATAGACTCGAGCTCCTGAGGGCGCGATTCAAGTATTGAGAGCGGGGAACTCAAGTATGAAGCGTTTGAAGCGCACATTTGATTCCTATAAGGCCCTAGAATGCCCGATAAGGCCCAAGGCCTCCAATGGTCGTGAGGCCATTCGCGTCCGTTGCGAAGCAGTCCAATGTCCCGAGCAGCGACGTGATGTTGTTCGTTGCAAGGACAAGGACTTCAAGCGACGCCTCGGCTGTTTCCAGCCCTGAAGCTTCGCAGGTTGCGGCCTCCACCAGCTGCGTGCTTTGCGTGCTTTGCGTGCTTTGCGTGGAGCACAGGGAACAAGTCAGCTCCTTGATGCTGTTGTTTTGAGCTGTTCCTGCAAGCACACTGAGGCGAAGCATTGGCTCTGCGTGGGGGGCGAGCCAGACTTCTGATGGCAGGTGCAAGCTTGGGGGCTCCTTGCCATGAGGAACTGCCACATTCTGAGCTGCCTTCACTGAGCCGAGCTCTTCGTGGGACTGCCTGGCCATCTCCTCACCTCCTTCTGCCCAATCAAAGCAGCAGTGCACGTCACCTTCACAGAAGTCTGGGCAAGCAGCCCTGTCCAGGTCTGCGCTGAAAACAGGCCAGAAGCTGCGCTGGCAAGGGTGAAAGTGCTCTGGAGGGAAGAGTGAAGTTCGCGCATCATCAATGCACCAAGACAGCACGTGCTGCTGATAGATGTCCTCTTCGCGGGCATCCGGAGACATTGCATGGTCTGAGCCAAAAGGCTTCAAGTCATCCTCCGCGTTGCCGTTGTTATTGCCCAGCAAGCCTTCCATCTGGTTGAAGCAATGATCTGCGGGCGTCATCTGGAGCGAAATGTGGGTAGAGTGGAAGACGGCCCTTAGCCCATGGCCGCGCTGCGTCTGCACTATGAGAGTGTCTGTGCCTTGCAGCTGGAGGAAGATGTGGCTGCCAAGGGCCTGCTTCTCATTCATTTCTTTCCCATCCAGGAAAACACTAAAGGAAGGAGCGCTCAAGGCAGTGGAGTTCACGGAGCTCACGGAGTTCACAACGTGCACGAGGGCATAGGCTACCTCAGGGCCTTCCTGGACAGCGAAGCCACGGATCACTGTGGCCTTCCTGTCTGGCCTTAGAAGCACGCTTTTTCTTGGTCTCCAGAGTCCATAGAGTCATGGGAATAGATGTGTTACAACGGCTATCTGTTAATACATCTGAACATGACTGAAGAGTGACAAGGCGAGACACAAGATTTGCTCAGCAAACACGTGCACCTTCAAATCTTCGCACTTGGCATACGTGCTCTCACCAAGGAAGTTGCACTCAAAAGTCAGGCCATCGAAGGTGACGCAATGTGGGTCTCCGATTTCCGTTCCCGGGGGCCGGCGTCGTCTCCACTTGCACTTGCTCTCTGCATTCCAGCATTCGTTCTCGTCCTTTGGCAAGGCGCAAGCCAAGTGGAACATTTCCAGCGTCATGGCGGTATAGAGGCGGAGAGCATTCATACCCTTAGCCTTCTGGTAGAGGTGAAGGAAACCTGGTGGTCCTTTGCCATCCTTCTTCTTTTTGATCCGCACGCGGTAGCCGTTCTTGGAGCCAACAATCTCCGCGAACTCGGACTGCAACGCCCAGCTGTTTTCAGTCGATGACAGGATTCTGTCGAAACCGTAGCCATTGTCATGCTCAAAGGAGAATTCGCAATAACCAAGCGGTTTGATCTTCAAGGTGGGTAGCCTGTAAAGAGGAACAATCGCGAGGGACTTCTTCACTAGCGGACCTGCAATCAGGGTTGGGCATCCGGAGCTCGAGTCGTCCAAGTCCTTCACCAAAGGCCAGCCGCAACTCAAGGCGAGGGCTACGAAGGTGTCCAGCTCCACCCCAAGTGCGATCAAATGCAAGCCGCGTTGCTCAACGTTGGCCCTCACAAAATCGCTTATGGGGAGCGCCGCCCCAATCGAGAACTTCAGTTCGCTTTCCAGTGACACCTAGCTGGGAAGTAGAGCGCATCTCCCAAGCCCTGTATCTCAACAGGACCGCTCAATATACATATATACATATATACATATATATATATATATGTGGCAAGGACCTTTAGGGTCTATGTGAGGTATCTCCTTTGCCGAAGGGACAGTGTAATTGAAACAGAAAATGCCCCGATTTTCTGTTTCAAGTGTTTCAAGTGTTTTAACTCTGGGGGGGGGGGGTCCTGGGCGACGGTCTGAGGCAAAATGCACCATTTCACAATTTCGCAGATCATGCCCGGGTAGTACGCCAGATTCTTCTGGAAATCTGGAGTCTGGAGTCCGGGGCCCGGGTGCATATGGAGTCCGCGCATGTTCTCCATATGCACGTTTAGGGATTACGGTTTAGTGTTTATTGTTTAGGGTTCGCAGGGTTTAGTGTTTAGGGTTCAGTGTTTAGTGTTTAGGGTCTAGTGTTTAGTTTTTGGTTTTAAAGGTTTAGGGTCTACTTTTTAGGGTTTAGGCTTAAGCGACTTGGATAATGTCTAAAACCCGAAACCTTATAATGATGAAGTTTGAAAACCCCTAGAGGACTGAAACCCCATGTCTTTTTGGTTTGGGGTTGGTTTAGGGTTCAGGATGTGTTGTTTCGGGTTTAGGGTTTAGTGTTCAGTGTTTAGGGTTTAGTGTGTGGGTTTCAGGGTTTAGTGTTTTGTGCTTAGGGTTGAGTGTTAAGTTTAGGGTCTCGGGTTTAGGTTTAGCGTTTAGGGTCAAGCGACTTGGCTAAAACCCTAAACCAAATAAAACCCTAAACTTTAAACTCCAAACAGTAAGCATCTGAAACCCCGACGGGTTTTTGGTTTCAGGTTTAGATTTAGTAGGGCTTGAGGTTCCGGCTTTGGGGTTTACTGTTTAGTGTTTAGTTTTTAGTGTGTAGGGTTTAGTGTGTAATGTTTAGGCTCTAGTTTTTAGGGAGCAGTGTTTACGTGTTTAGGGTTTAGTGCTTAAGCGTTTAGGTTTTCGTGTTAAGTGTTTGGGGTTTGTGCTAAGGGCTTAGTGTTAAGCTTTTAGGGTTAGTATTTAGGGTCTAGTGCTGAGTGTTAGGGTTTAGTGCTAAGGATTGCGGATTTGGTTGTTAGGGTCAAGAGTTTTAAGGGTTTTAAGGGTTTTTACAAATTTAATGGATCTGGGGAAGGCACCGGGGCCCCCCCAGACCATTTTTCAAAAACACTTCTATCAATTTAAATGGTCTGGGGAAGGCACCGGGGCTTCCCCAGACCATCTGAACTTTTAAAATCCTTATCAAAATCCTGAAAATTCTGATTAAACATTCTCAGGATTTTCAAGGTGTTAAAGCCTTTGAAAAACCTAAAAACGCTTAAACATTTATGTGGCTGCCCTTTTAGGATTTTAAGGTTCTTTAAAGTTAGTTGTCAATGGTCTGGAGAAGTCCCGGTGCCTTCCCCAGACCGTGTAGATTTTTACAAATCCTTTAACAGGACAGGATTTTAGGATGCTCAATTCTAAAATCCGTAACTTCCTTAATTTTGAACTGCTGCCCTTTTAAAATTTTGAGGTATTTTAGAATTTTAAGGGATAAAAGTTTTCAGGTTTTTAAGGACTATAAAGCCTTTTAAATCCTGAAATTTTTGAATGGCTTTAAATACCTTAAAGCCCTTAAAATTTTGGAAGGGCTGCCCATTCAAAGACAATTAAGGATGTTAAGGGCTTTCAAAATTTGAAATGGTCTGGGGAAGCCCCGGTGCTTTCCGCAGATAATCAAAATTTGAAAAGACCCCTAAACCCTGAAAAGCCTCAAAATTCTAAATGGCTGCCCTTCTAAAATTTTATGGAGCCGCAAGACACACGTTTCAGAAGCAAAAACGCACATAAAAACGCTTGTGTTTTTTCTAGGGGATAATATAAAAGAGCCTTTTGTATTCCAGTACATTTTTTACAAAGACGAAGACAGGAAAACCACAGGTGTGGATCATGGGGGGGGGTGACCATATATATATATATTCATATGTAGAAACAAATAAAGAAAAAATATATATATATATATATACATGTACGTATTTATATCTGTTTATTATTCATTTATGAGTTCATGAAGAAACAGCTACAAGATAAGATAATATGCACTATACTTAGTTAGATACATACCTAACCGATGAGTCTTCACACGGAGCACGCTCTCTCCCCTGCCTCAAATCCAATGATGTTCCAAAACTTCACAGCGACGCCCAACTTCGGAGTGACGGTGAAGTCTATTCGGCCCTGCTCTGCGGTAGTCCCAGTGATGGAGGAATCCTTCTTGACCTTGCGATGATCCCCCACCCATTTCTCATCACGATAGGTGGCCTCATAGACGTGCTCCTCTGCAGACGTCACGACTTGCTTAGTTTTCACGCCGGATGAGACGGTGCCTGCGAAGGTTACGCTTGCGACCACGTCCAGAGCCAGGTAAACCGGCCCAAAGAGGGGAACGGTTGGAAACGATGCGATGACAAAGTCAAAGGGCAAACTGATTTGTACTCCAGTCGAGGCCTGATGCACCACTCAGCTAGGATTTCACCATTACACTTAAGGCTATAGGGGAGCTTCAGCGACGCAGAAGTGTCGCATCCGGGCCAGCCGCCCTTGCCCAACACCAAACCCCGACCCCAAGCCCCAGCCCTCCTGCCCCAACGTGCCTGTGCACCACCAGAAGCGCTTTCAAGGTCAGGCTTTTGTAGGGGTTAGCCATGCCTGGACCGGGTGTTTCCCTGCGTTGAGTCAAATGAAGCCGCAGGATCTACACATGGTGGTGCCGTGCCGTGCATTCCGTTAAGTTTCAGCCCTGTGGCCAAACTGCCCAAAAGCTTTGAGTTTGCATAAGGCATATAAGGTGCTCAAGGAGTTCTCTACTTGGCCGCATACGGCTAGGGCAGTATCTGATCGTCTTCCAGCCCCTCACCTTCCTTCTTGATCAACGAAAACTTTCTTGGCAAACGCTTTCGCGGCACTCCGCCTTCTTCCGTTGTACCATTCCCACTTCCGGATGCCTGCGTTCTGCAGCGCGGCGAAACATGCGAAGCCTTGAAAATGAGAATCGGGATATGTTGAATAAGATTGAGAATTGGGAGCCTGGCCTGGAAGTCAATTTGAGCCTCGACGGTCCATCCGATGGTGTAGCTCGCGAATATCGTGTTCGCGCCCACGGTGAGGTGCGCGCGCATGTCCAGGTCAAGCTTCAAAGACGCGCTCAGACCCACCTTGAAGACTTGCTTCGTCTTCAGCGTTCTCTTGGCAACCTGTTTGTCGGCACGGCCTTCGGCACCATCGTCGCTATCGTCACTATTGGCACTTGCCAGCCGACGCTCCTGGGAAGTGTTGGCCGGACTTTCCGGACTCGGTACCCTCAAGTCTGCATCAAACTGCAGGCGCGAGTACAACTCCGTTAACGCTGCCGGGCGAGTATGGGCCACTAGCCGCCCGTATGGCAAGCTCTCCAGACTCTTCACGACCACGAAGAAGGGCTCCTCTCCTCCTGCGCCTTCACCGAGGCCAGACAAGCAACAGCCCAGGGCCAGCACAGGTAAGTCCTGCTCATCCAAGGCTTCGAAGGTGATGTTTGCGGCCATCACTCGGATCGCAAGCCTCTCTGTAGCCCTGACATCCACTAAGGTGGCCCCCTCTTGCAGGATTGGGTCCTGTTCGCGATCGCGTGAACCGAATAACAAGCGTCTGCGATTTGAGAGGCCCTAGGTGGCGTGGACCTTTAGGTATAATGTGAGGTTTCGCCTTTCTGTCCTCAAATATAACTCAATGACATAGAAACAGCGCCGGGCAAACAGTAAAAAAGAGATCCATTGCGAGCATCTCGGACCCTTCTGTGGTCAGCTGGGGGTCCTTGGCCCTGGCGAGCATCATGAGCATCAGGATGTTGCTCTAAATTCTTATGCCAAGCCTAAGGTCGTAGGGTTCCCTTGCGCCTCGCCCTTGCGCCGTGCTAGTGTTTAGCCATGCCGGCAAACATGCCAGCTGCAAAGCCTGGTACCGACAAGGTTTTCTGGGGGCTCTACGTACTAGAAGCGATGTTTCCATAAGCTGGCTGGATTGTCACTGTATCGTAGTTCGAGCTTAGTACTGGAAGCGATGATTGCGTAATCCGGCAGGATTATCGCTGTAATAGACGACTCTAGAGCTTGAAGCTTTGAGAGCCTGGGTATAGTTCTAGCAGACGGCCTGATTTTAGAGTTTGGGGTTCTTAGCCCTTGCGCTCGCCCTTGCGCCGCCTTGCTCCATGCTGGTTTTTGGCGCCATGGTTACACGAAGGCAACAGACATGTGGCCGGCCCAATTAAACACGAAGAGGCGGAGTTTTAGAACAACGCCCCCCTCTCCACCCGCCCTCCCCGCTTCCCTCCCTCCGGCGCATCTTGAGCATGAACGGGGCGGCTCATTTCGGATCCTCTGCCCCCCTCCCTCCCCCCGTGCCCCTCCGCCACACCCCCCTCCGGGTGTTGCGTTCGCATCTGCAAACAATCTTGGGGAGCGGCCGCTGATTCGCCGCTAGGCGTTTTCAAGAATTCTTCGACTACGACAACGACTACGCACATAGACCCTAAAACTCCTACGTACCTAGAGACTAGACTAAAAGGGGGTCCTCATCGGCAATGATCACCCGTCGAACCTCGCGATTGCTGGACACCGCCGCCCCAGACATCGCTGGTATTGGGAATGCCACAGCCAGCACCAGGAAGAAGTGGGAGCCAGGATTCATGCCGTTGAGGCTGACCTGAGTGCTCCCACGTGCTTCGATTGCGTCCAGTGTTTAAGTCTGTAAGAGTTTGGCTCTGCATACTGTATCTCTACGTGCCCTTACAGTGCCCTGCTCGTTTTACTCTCCACAGGCAAGGAGAGATGATGAGATGGAGAGCGCGCAAGGCAAAAAAAAAAACAAATGCCCTGATCTGAAGTTGGTTTTTTCTGACACACATGGCAGAGCAGGAAGCTGAGTAAACGTCCTGTGGCTCTTCGTGCTCATCCAAGAAACCCCACCAGTCTCCAGTATACCCATATGCTGCACAAAAATTGGATCAAATCTAGCCCTACCCCAGCCAGATCCCAGCCATGCGCGGCACGCATTGTTGCTGCTTTTGTGAGGTTTCGCTCTACTGCTGCAGACAACAGGATCCCCTTCACAATGCGTAGACATGGTATCTTAAGATCATAAAGATGTACAAAGGCCAGCGACATTCAGGGCAGCACCCAGCGGGAACACCACCACTCCAGTCCGCTGTTCCAACAGCTTCTCCGCAACTTCGCTCTCCCGAGCTCCCTCTGGAAGCTTTGCAAAGTTGGTGAGCAGCTCCTCCTCCTCGGAACAGAGCAACAAATACGTAATGTTGATCCCGTTGATCCCTTCTGTGCTCTCAGGGGTGCTGTTCGATTCAGCATCGCCAATGGTGACGCTCGCGCTTGGCCAGCTGATCTCTACCCGCCCCGCATGCATGGATATCGCAGACCCAATCCCGGCAAAGGCAAGGACATCGTTGGTTGTGGTTGTGGTGGTGCTGCTGGTAGTAATCGTGTCGTCCCGGAATCGCAGCTCTTCTGCATCAATTTCCTCAACAAGGGTCCATTCAGTTGCCTCACCACCCCCGTGGATGACGACAGAAGGCCAGCTGGTGATGAAATGGTTCTCGTCATCGTAGCAGCACCGCACGCCGAAGTCATAGAAGAAATCTGGTGTCAGCTCAAAGCACAAGGGTCTGCGATCAGGCGGTGCCCATGCATCAAAGCCAAGTGAGATCAGCTGGGAAGGCATGTTGCCACCGTGCACTAGCCAAACGGAAGGTAGCCAACTGCTGGGGCAGGGATACTTCGACAGCTCACTGTCTGGCACATGCCTGCCAGCCTTGGCTAGGCTAAAATGCGTCAGGACATCTTCGCGCGCCTTGGTTCCTTTGAGCACATCATGTTTGACAGGAACTGCCTGCAGATGCTCATCTGGCTCTGGGAAAAGCTCAGCATCCTCCCGCAGCCTGTTCAGAAACCAGTTGCGCGCCTACTTTACATTGCGGTGGGCCAATTTTTTTTAAAGTCACATGTTGAAGTCACAAGTTTCTGAACAGCACTGCCAGCCTGTATAGCCTCGGGGTACCCGAGGAGTTGATGTCCAGCATCTCCGCGAACATCCCTAAGTTCGAGAACTGACTAGAGACCCAGGCACCCTCCGCTGTTTCCTGGTCAGAATGCTTGATGGCGATGTAGCCGGAATCACATGAGAAGTGAAAGAGTTCTGTGTCGGAGCCATAGGTCAAGTTGAAAGCCTTTGCAAGCTGCGCATGCTCAACCCAAATTCTTGTACACACTCATCTGGATGCGGAATATAAGTTAATACTATACTTAGACTGTAAGACCAATTTTTTTGCGGATTGGGTAACCCCACATGTTCATTTTTTGGACTGCCCTCGCGTGAAGCCTCGTATCTCAAATATACACATGGAGTGAGCAAGAGAGTCTGAGCGGATCTCTACTTTAGTGAATTATCTATACTTGCATGCAGGTGACAGGGAGAACCAAGATGTCTCCCCTGCGGCTTTTGTTCGCCCCCCAGCCAGTCTCCAACTCCTCAAAGCCTGCGGCAACCAGGAAAGGTCCCGCAGAAGCTGCTGAGGCACCCCACGCCCAGTGGCAGCGACCCCAGCGGTCCACCGTGTCCGCCTCTATTCGCGGCTTACTTGGTCTTACTTGCATAATCTTGTGTGGCTCCAGAAGATTCAATGCAAGCTTGCGTCTATCGGTGCTGTTTCAAGAGTCTCCCTTTGCCGAACACATTGTCAGCAATTTAGTTGCACACAGACGAGCTTTCTAACTAGCGGTGTTGTGTGCACAACATGCCTTCCTTCAACGAAGTATCACGATGACCCCATACTGCACGAGAAGCATGGCAAGAACCATCGCTAATCCGGCTAAGCAGTTCCGTGGAATCATCGCCCGATTGCAATGAAGGGCTTCAATGTTGGAGCCCTCGTGACATCCGAACACAATGAAGCAAGTACAAGAATCGAGAGTGCAATGACTGTGCGCACCCAGATCGCAATCATATTTCAGATTCACAAGTGCAGCTATGGCATTCACAAACGCCAGCAGCTACGGCTACTCATCGTGTGTGAAGCAGCAGTTGCTTGAAGTCTTGTCACAAAAGCCCTGCAGTACCCGTCCTCATCGCACTGCTTCTTCTCAGGTGGATGTTGACTTCGAAGCCCGGCTTTCTGCAAGGCCCGTCGCAGAATCTGCAATGCAGGTAAACCGCCAGCAGTCGCAGCCTCCTTGGCAGCTTGTACGTAAGCGTTCACCTTGGTGAATCCGACAAGAGTTTTCTCTCATGTATGTTGCACTGACAACCACTATTGCACCTTCAAGGCCCCTCCACCTCCCACCCCCCCTCCCCCCCCCTAGCCTTCTGCTGCCAGTTCCATGTGGGAGCTCCAGGATCTTCAGCAGCTTCATCAGACGCATTCGGGTGGGGGAGCCTTGGAAGCTCGCAGCTGCTACCGTCCGCTTCTTCCCCATCTTCCCCGGCTGTCCCTTCGAAGCACCGCAGAGCCATGAAGCGCACCGGTTTGGGAAAAGGCCTCTCGTGCTCGATGGGGGCCGGGACGGCATAAAATTCGCCAACTTGGCACGTGGCTGTATCTACTGTAGGGTTGGAATCCAGCCGCCCCATGACAGCAAGATCGAAGCCAATTGCAACCATATCACAACAAGGATGTTTCCACCTCCCGGAGTGGTAAATCTGCGATGACCAATCCTTGAAGATGCTCTGTGGGTACGCCTGAGACTCCACCATGCGCTCTGCGTAGAAGCCAGAGCTGGGCTTTCTGACGGAGAGCTGCTTCGGAGCAAAAAGCCTCGAGCCATCCCAGAATTCGACACTAATGTTGTAGACGCCCATCTCCATGAGAGGGGTGTGGCACGAGGCCGTATCCCCCGCCACTGAGGTCACTGAGGTGGTGAAGCTGCTGCACAGCTCGCCGACGCAACAGGACTTGATGGGGCAAAGCTCCGGAAACTCGAGCTGGCTTCGGTGAAACGCTGGGACCACGGAGGGCGTGAAGTGTAGGCCTTCCACAGGGTCCTGGCTGCACTTGAGCCCAGGGAGCACGCTTCGGTGCCGGAGCCACAAATCGAAGAAGTCACAGAGAGCGGATTGAGGGAACTCCGCTAACCCAAATTCCCCCACATCCGCCACATCCAGAGAGGTGATGTAGGGAGGCATGGGCTCGGGATCGTTGTCCAAATGGAGGATCTGGGTGCCAACCCGGACCAAGGCCTCGAGCGAGTGCGCGGCTCCCTGACACAAGGGTCCAACCAAGATCAACAGCTCGGGAGCCTCAGAACTCTCAAGGAAAGCAAGGTCAGGCCAAGAACAAGCCGAAGAGTACCGAGAATATCGATGGCTCATCTTGTTGAAGAAGCCCTGTGCTGCTTCTAAGGACGAGTTCAAGCTGGCATTGAAGCTGGCGTTGAAGCTGTTTCCCCAGATGTCATTGACCAAGTAGGTGCCGCTGCTTGAGCTAAACGTGTTGAGTAGGAGCTCAAGCAATGACAAAGCTGCAAGGTTTGACTTCGCATAGTAGCTCTTCCTCCAGCTCTCCGGCTCCGACCACGCGAGCATCTGCATCGCAAAGCGCCTCGATCCAGGCAATGTGTTTGGGTCCAGACTGAAATCACAGGAAATCTTCTGGGCACAAGAAATGGTGCCCAGGACTTTCCAGGAGTTGGCATAGAAGTATAGCACCGGTCCAGCCATTGGGTACGGACAGGGAGGCATCCCAACTCCGAAGCTTCCGTTCTCGAAGCGGCTCGGCTCCGGAGCCCTCGAAACACCATACGAGTACGAGAAATCAACACTGATGCCGGAGCATGCACTGTCCCGTGCGACCTGTGCGACCTGCGCGAAGTCAGGGGACCACATCAGCGAGTAGCCCTCCAACCCTGCCAGGTGGGCCTCTCCAGCAAAGCAACTCTCACATGAGTTGTTGTTGAGGGTTGCCAAAGCAAGTGGGTCACATTCACTGCAGCTGGGTCCCGCAAAGGGATAGGTGCAGTCGCAGCCACAGATCGGCTGGACACTTGGAGCATCCGGAGTGCCCGGAGGCCCCCAGCCGCGGTGTGTCACTTGGCCCCGGCCGTGGCACAGGCTTTGGTCGCAGCAGGAGACCCAAAGTGTGTAGTTCCCGGCATGAGGAGGGGGGCTGTACTTGCTGTACTGGCCAACCGCTATGTCGTAGCACGTTGAAGCGACAAGGGTGCTAAGCTTCATCTCTGCCTGCGCCCCACATTCTCCGCAATCGTCACATGACCGCTGCTCTTGCTCATCCGATGCTTGTGTGACCTTCAGCGTAGTGTCGAAGGAAGATGTGCATGTGCTCAGAAGCACTTCGCCTACTGCTCCTGGATCTTCTGGGGTGCAAAAGACGTGCTTGCTGCTGGCCCCGGCAAAGGCTCCATGAACAACGCTTCCACACTCCACCATTGCAGCCGGGATGGGGGATGTGGTTGCATTACTATCAGTAGTTTGCTTCAAGGAACTGTTCGTGCAGGTCGTGTTCAGTGCACTTGCAAGCAGCCACCGCCATTGCAAAGGCATTTCTCTGTATGGTGATCCAAAGTAGGTGATGCGCCCCTTCCCATATGGGGTGGTCCAGGCAGATGCAAGGCCGTTGCCGCTATCTCCATAGACTCCATCCGTGGTCTGTGGCAGAGAGCTTGTCCTTGTGCACTCGGATCCAACTGATCCCCCAGGCAGCTCAGCCGGCCCATGCTCAAAGCCACCGCCCGACATCTGCCGCGCAGCTCTTCTGGGACACCAGTCCATCTGGACTTTCAGCCCCAGTTCTTGGAAGAAAGACCGGGCCAAAGGATACACGACGAGGTGGACCCCATTTTCTACAATGAGCTGATGCAAGAGCTGGAACGACTGACCTGCCAGCCGGTCCACCTTATCGTCTGCCTTCGATACGATAACAACACCATGAGTCAACAAGCCAAGAAGTGAGCCTTCCAACTCAGCCGCCGAGCCCCAAACAACCAGGGAATCAGCAAGCCCGCGAAGCTCTGCCGAAGGATTCTCCTCGGCTGTGTCCGGAACACAAAACACATCTGATGATTTATCCTTCATCTCGACCAGATTCGACCATTCTCTCAGTCCCTAAACTCTAAACCTTTACAAACTTTAAAAACGACAAAAACGACAGAACTGCAGCACCCTGACTTGGAGCGCAGCTGAGTGTCAGCATAAATGTACACGGGACATGTCAGCGGTGCATCAATCGGAAAGGTGGTCTCTGTGCTCTCTGTGCAGCTCAGCGACATGATGTACTCCCCCTCTTGCCGATCACGCCCTTCGATTGAGATGCTGTAGCAATCGCCTGGGTTAAAGTCGAAGGATGCCTCCGCCTGCGTCGCCTGCGTCGCCTGCGTTGCCTGCGCTGCGGAGGAGTCGCCACAGGAGCCGCAATCACCGCAGGAGTAGGTCAGCGCTGGGCCCTGCACATGTAACCAGGTACTGAAGCTCGATTGGCAAGTGCTGACTGTGACTCTGCCAGGACCGGTGGCATTTGGACAGAAGCTGTAGCTCGCATCGCCTGCTGGATGGCCCATGGTATCTGGCAGACCAACAGTCGAACCGGATACTGTACTCCCACAGGCAAGTGCCCCTATAGGTGGCGAGCAAGTCAATGACAACATGTATTCCCCTCTGAAGAAGACTTGGCCGCGAAGATGAATCTCGTAACACAAACCATTTTCGACGTCAACTGTAACTTCGGCTTGCCTGCCACATGACCCACAGTCTTCATCACAAAAGACGTCCACATCGGGGCCTCGAACGTGTAGCCGCGTGTCAACATCAGAGCCGCAGCTGCTGATTCTGACTCTTCCGGAGACGTTCGGACAGAACAAGAACTTCACATCGCGCGCTGTATTGCCGAAGTCAAGGCTTGAGCCGGACACCATGCTCCCACAAGCAACTAATGTCCCAGTAGTGTTCGAGGCGTTGTACTCTTCGTCTTCGTTGGCACATGATGCATTCAATGAGCTGAGAAGAAGCCGTTGCCATTGCGACGGCATGTCCCGGTATGGGACTCCAAGATAAGTGACTCGCCCTCCACCATAAGGTGTCGTCCAAGCAGAAGCATGGTCACCAGCGCCATAGACACCGTCCACGCTGTCAGGCAAGGAGCTATTCTGAGCACACAGCATGGAACTTTCAACCTGCGGCATCTCAGACGGCGCATGTTCAAAGCCGCCGCCCGACACCTGCCGCACAGTTGTTGTGGAACACGAGGCCTCCCGAAGACTCAGTCCCAAATCCTCCAAGAAATTGAAAGACTCAGGGTGCACAATGAGGTGCAGACCTCCCGCTAGGTGTGCAGTGAGAATCTCTCTCAAGTCCCCCAGTCCGTATGCTAGACGGTTGTCTACATCCGACATGACAAGCTGGCCATGGCTCGACAGGCCATCAAGGAAGCCCTCCAGCTCATCCTCCTCCCCAGCAAAGACAACCAAAGGATTAGCCAAGCTACCAAGTCCTGCGAAGGGATTTTCCTCGGCTCTGGATTCGACAAAATGCGAAACGCCAGTTTTTTGGGGGGTCCCTCTAAGAGCGCCCCAAGATACAAAAAGTGCATTCCAAGAACATCAAGAACATTCAAAGTCGACCTCGCCACATTCCGGACGTCCTCCGCGCACTATGTTTTCCTACGAAAGTCAGCCTTGAAACCCACGGGAGCTCCGGGCATCCTCAGTTTCGCATTTCGGTAGTCGGTAGCCCATGAGGTTCAAAGCGATGACCGTTTCGCAGTTCGCGAGCCCTGATGCCGAAAGCGACGACAGTCTCACCTCTCGTGAGCACAAAGAGCCGAAAAGCCATGATCTCCGAACTGTGAATCCTCATGCGCTTGATGCGCTTGTGGCCTCAGAGGACCCCCTTGAACCTTCTGAACAGTGAATCCCCAATAGCTTGCAGGAAAAACAATGGAGGAGCGGAAAGCGCTCCTCCTGCCAAAGAAAAACGACGTCTAGTCAGGCCTCAAGACTCCGCGGTCACACGCGCGCGCGCGCGGTCGCGCGGGCGATGTTTTCGACCAGATTCCGAGCAAGCCTCGCGAAAAACCCATGGTCAGCGGGTGCACAACTATCTAAATGCCCTGATGTACTGTCTTTAGTATGGGGGCCCCCCCCCCCCCCCCCCCCCCCCCCCCAACAAATTTGGACCCTCTATAAACGCATGCCCGGCGACCCCCCCAAACAAATTTTGGGGGGGGAAGGGGGGGGACTTGAGTTGTGTTGTGCGACCAGAGCTTTCGGCCTCAGCAAAAATCAGCTCTCCGGAAAAACTTGTGATAATAGACGGTACCCTGAACAATCTCGGTTCGCTGAATAAATAAATTTTCGAAACTTGTGATAATAGACCCTCCTTATACAAAAGCCAGTCCAACATTACCCCAAATTTTAGAACCTCAAAGTGGCAAGATTGCAGCTTGCGACTGCAGCTGAGCGTCAGCATCGATGTACACCGGACATGTCAGTGCTGGAGCAGCAACGGTCGGGGTTGCCTCTGTGCAGCTCAGGGACATGATGTACTCGCCCTCATTGAAATCTGGCTGCCCGTCCGGACCCTCAATGGCAATGCTGAAGCAATCGCCTGCGCTGAAGTCGAAGGATACCCCCGCCCGTGCTCTGTCACAAAAGCCGCAATCACCGCAGGAGTAAGTCATGCGTGGCCCCTGCACGTGCAACCAAGTGAAAAAGCTCGATTGGCAAGTGCTGACAGTGACTCTGCCAGTGGTGTTTGGACAGAATGAGAAGTTCGCGTCACCCGCTGTGTAGCCAATGGTATTTGGCAGGCCAACGGTTGAACCGGACACGACGCTCCCGCACTCAACGGCTGTAGCACTTGCGCCCACGGCACTGGGGCAAGTGAGTGCCAACACGTAGTCTCCTTCCTCGATATCATAGCCATCAACGTGTATCTCATAACACACACCGTCGACGACGTCAACTTCAACGACGGCTCGGGTGCCACAGGGGCCACAATCGTCACAGGAGATGTCCACACCAGGGCCTTTCACATGCAGGAAGGTGTCGAAACCGGATTCGCAGGTGCTGATTGTGACGGTGCCACCGATGTCAGGACAGAACAAGAATTTCACATCACCCGCTGGATTGCCAATGGTATCTGGCATGCCAACCGTCGAACCGGATACCACCCTTCCACATTCGACCGCAGTAGCGTTCGGCGAGCTCACAGGTATGGGACAAGCAAATGACACTGTGTAGTTCCCTTCTTCGAAAAACCAACCACCAACATGAATCTCATAACACAAACCGCCGACGACATGAAATGACAGCACGTCTTGGGCGCCGCAGGGGCCGCAATCATTGCAGACAGCATCCACATGCGGGCCTCGCGCGTGCAGGTAAGTGTTGAAATCAGATCCACAGCTGCTGATCGTGACTCTGCTAGTGATGTTTGGACAAAACAGGAATTCCGCATCGCCCGATGGTACGCCACTGGTATCTGGCATGCCAACAGTCGAACCGGCTACCTCACTTCCACACCCAACTGTAACAGTCTCGAAGCAAGTGAAAGACAGCATGTAATCCCCTTCTGCAGCAGCATAGCCATAAGAGTACGCGTAATTCCCCTCTGCTGAGGCATTCAAGCCATCGAGGTAAACCTCGTAGCACAAACCGTCGAGGACATGAAATGACAGCACATCTTGGGGGTCGCACGGGCCAAAACGCCTCGACACAACGTCCACATTCGGGCCTTGCGCGTGCAGGAAAGTGTTGAAACTAGATCCGCAGCTGCTGATCGTGACTCTGCCAGTGATGTTTGGACAAAACAGGAATTTCACGTCACCCGCTGAAAAGCCAATGGCATCTGGCAGGCCAACATTCGAACCGGATACTGCGCTTCCACACTCAACTGCAGTTGCGTTCGTAGAGGTGTTCTGGGACTTGGGACACGTAAATGACAACATGTAGTCTCCTTCCTCGATACCATAGCCATCGACGTATATCTCATAACACACACCGTCGACGACGTCAACTTCAACGACGGCTCGGGTGCCACAGGGGCCACAATCGTCACAGGAGATGTCCACACCAGGGCCTTTCACATGCAGGAAGGTGTCGAAACCGGATTCGCAGGTGCTGATTGTGACGGTGCCACCGATGCCAGGACAGAACCAGAATTTCACATCACCCGCTGGATTGCCAATGGTATCTGGCATGCCAACCGTCGAACCGGATACCACGCTTCCACAGACCAGTGTGTTGTTTCTCATGGTCGTGGTGGGCTCGAGGATGCTTGTGGTGAATTGACCCGTGGTGGATATGTTCAACCCCTCTGCCCAAGACATTGCCAGGAAGGGCATGAGGAGCACATGCGCTGTAAATCCCATGGGCACAATGCTGGCTGAAAAAATGCTGTTCAGTGTCTGGTGCTCCTGGCCAGAATGTTACCGGCGAGGAACAGCAGACACCTACGACTAGGTGTGGAGACTGGAATGGGCCTGGGCCAAAACCTGCAGGGGTCCTGTTATGTAGAGATGCGATGAGATGAGTGCTGATCTCTCGCTGCAAGATGGCGCTCGTGGCAGAATCGCTGTGTGCTACCCTCGCAAGATTACCGCCCCTGACTTCCTCCACCTACACATTCACTGACGCTGGCTATCAGTTAAAAAAAAACAAACGGATTTTGACCGCAGAAAAGTCTATGCCTCGCTTTCGTGGCGCGTCGCTGCTGTAGTGTGTTTGAATGCTGCGACTTTTGCTTTCTCCCTTGACTAGCTTAAGCATGATTTCCCTCGGCACTTGCACATTTCAGCTCCCATTCCCCTGTGCACTGAGGGGGTAGCAAAACCAAACATCGCAGGCGATAGAAAAGAAACATGTGCATGTGATGTAAGCCATGTTCAATTGATGAAAGAACTATGTGGCCATGCTGCACGCTTCACTACAAAAGATCGAAGCCCCACAGTGCACGCATGGGATGATGCATGAGAGCAAGGCTGTCGCTTGGATGAAGGTTGAGTCGGTTACAAGTGTCGGGAGCGGGCCGAGGGTGTGTTGGGAACAGGGGGGGGCGCGTGTTCGGAACAGGGCAGGCGT